TACGTTTTATTTATTTATTTTGTTTTTTGATCAGTAAATCTGTAGTAAATACTGTACAATTAACTATTTTGTTTTTCATTTGTTATTAATTCTTTCACATCGATCTTTTTTGTTGTTGATTAGACAGAAATACAATATTGTCACACAATATTTGAGTCACCATGTCAAACTGAAATACATAATCTAGTTTTTTTTTTTTTTTTTAAACAGATAAAGAAAAGAAAGTTCCACAAACGGTCAAATTCACAAATATGTTTCCATAAAAAAAAAAAAAAAAAAAAAGATTCCCCACACATGGTCTCCAAAATTTTGGTTGCCTCTTCAACAGTGTAGTCTGGATAGTGTCACAGTATGACATTGTGTCTGTCAAACCCTTCCTGGGAGGTGAAATTTGCCTGTGAAGCGTCCATGGTTGTGCAGATCAAATGGACTGATAGCCTTCCTGATACCCAGCATGTTGCCCTGCGCTATCATCTTAAAGGTCCAGGGATTCTGGTTGTTCTGCTCCATATCAGCCTGTTTCTTTTGCAGGGCTGCTAGGCTCTCTCTGCTCATTACCTGAAATAAATAAGTAGTAAAAAAAAAGATTGTAACACATACAGTAGATACTGGGGGGGGGGACTGAGAGGAGTGCAATAGTTTGAAATTATAAACTAAAAGTTTTATTGCATTTATTGTTATATGTTTGCATCTCATTCATCTAGGCAATCTATTCATTGCACTGAATTGGCTTCATTAGAGCTTTCTACGCAAATTATTAGAAGTAAACTGGAATTCCACAGGGATCCAAACCTGGTCTACTTTCTTCACTTTACATACATAATCAGCTTTCCGATCATTGGGTACACCTAGATAAAACTAATAAGTCTAATAGAACAGCCCTAAACAAACCCAACCTTCTTGAAGGTTAAAATGTTCAATTCTTGATTAAAATGCTTTACAAAGGTGTTGCGGTGCCAACTGAGTGTAAATGATTTACCAAACCAAATGTAGTCATCACTCAGTACTCAAACTACATTGAGTGAAACTCTTTCAGAATATATTACATTTATTAGAACAGCAACTGGAAAAGTATATATTGTATCTGTCATCTCACCTTGGCAGGGAAGGGTAGCTTCTTTGCCACTTCAGTCAAGATATGCTCAACCTCCCCCAGCTCCACCTTTCCTCCCACCTCCACGATGAAACGACCATAGCGGACAGGTGTCACATAGTGGTCGATGGCTCCCTTCCCCCCACCCATGCGCTGACCCAGGCCTTTACGTGTAATTGGCTTATATGGGGCATTGATGCGCCAGCGGGCAAATGTAGTCCGGGAATCCATCTTGCGGTTGACGGTTAGACGCATCATTTCTATGTGACCCCAATGGAGGTAGCCTCCTCCCATGGCCTGAGTGTCAGAGAGTGAGACAGAGAAAGAGGAAAACATCATGCTCTGATTAACCACTTCGTATTTTTCACCTGGCATGAGTATAGAGTTAGAATGTGTGTGAGGGAAAAGGCTAATTGGAAAGATAATGCTGTTGATAATTTCCCTAAGACATAAATGGTCGTAAATGCTACTGTTTTTGACACAAGAATGGATAATATTTTAAGTCAAATTATATATTTGAATCACTACACTTCTCATGTAGAGTGAGTCATCTTCTATTTTGCATAAATGTAAAACTAAAGTAAGAGGTTTCGGTATAATTCTGTCCTGGAAAAAAGAAATGTCAAAGCACTTTATACTTGTATCCTGTTTAGACTGTGACATATGTAACAGTTGGTATTATGAGTCTGGTAATACACAGTTACTGAAGGTTTCATATTAAAGATAAGTTTTTAGAAATACTGCAGGTAATTTAATCTTCCTAGACTTTAACAGTGTTTACACAAAATAAATGCACTCACCACAATAGCATACTGTCCTGTAGTGAAGGCATTTGCTGCCTTAGCTTGGCCTTGGATATCGCGCAGCTTCTTCATTTCTTTCCTAGCCCTTTTAAGGTTAGGAACCTTGTTCATAAACTTCAGTTTGGGTTTCTCTGGCAGCACCACATCTTCAGAAAATTAAAAAAATGAAAACAAGGATGAAGAATCACGAAAACCACATTAAGATACTTTCAAGCAAACATGTCTCCTTGCACAAAGATTCAAAGAATCCAAAGACAAGACCAATTTTAAAGGCCTGTGAACTCTCTACACTGTGCTTTCTTTCCCAGAACTGTATACATGACTACATATAACAATGTTATGCAAATAAGACATAAACAAAAAAATTATTAAAAATTGATTTAAAACATCACAACAAATAAATGATAAGATGATGAATGATTACCACTGTAGTCTGGAGGGATTTCATACGTTTTAAATCCAGCAGCTAGGACCTTTAAATGGTTGTACAAAGGACCTGTGGAATAAACAGCAGTGGACACATGTTGACATGTTTGGTAAAAAAAATAAATCAGCCTAATACAGAGTGATCAAAATTTACTGCTAATAAATCAAATTTCTGAATGTAAACAAACCTCTCTTCAAGCCAACAGCATAAAACTCTATAGTTATTTTCTGATTTACATGATTCTAACTTTTGCTTGTGCTTGTTTGAGACTGTTGTTCCTATGCCTTCACATATAAAATGGTTGGTTGGTTATAAAATTGTTGGTCAGCTTTGTCAACAAGTAAAGTCAATTGCTCCTTCCTATTTTCAGTCTCTCTGTGCACTTGTCCTGCTATCACCTTGTTATCACCAGTATGTCACCCTGTACCTGTTTTAAACCACATTCTTGCATGTCTTCTATTGAGGCCTTACAATTATTGTATCAGTGATTCATGATTTTACTTTAATTATGAGTTGATTGCTCTGTGTATTATTTGCTACTGTGTTGTATTTGACAACTTAGCATACCTGTACAGTAGACTACGTATTATCTATCTATTACACTTTCCTTTATACTATCGTTCTGCATGTTTACATTACACTTAAGTCACTGTTTTAATTGTATGTTGTTTTTCAGGGTGACTATGGTACATCCGTCCAGAGATTACAAGTCAAAACATCCTTTCAGCTAACTCTGAGATTAACACCAGTGGGGGTTTTTTTTGCAATGTGCACTGTACTTGTTAAATAAACCAATAAATAAATATATACATCATATACAATAAAGACTTATAAAATTCACTATAACGTTAACGTTACCTTGTTGGTGACCGGGGGCTTTACAGATACCGGTCAATCCGCCGACAGCAGCCTTGACGAATGAAAACATCTTGCTAACCTTGAAATGGGGCACTATAAATACCAAACTGACACTTCGTGTGTTCGATATAGGAGCATTTTAGGTGGTTGACTAATGAAATTGTTGTGGACACCACGCTCTGTACAAGGTCGCTGCCATTGCTGTAGATTTGACTTCCTCCAGTGTTCCGCCAGAAGAAGAGACACTTCCTGTACGAGTGTTTTTCACTATAAAAATGGTTCCGCTCACAGATGTCACTGGGGCCAAAAATTCACTATTTCTGATGTGTGCACGAGACAATGGGAGTTTCCATATAATTTATTTTTAAGGGATAAAGTGTTGTCCCCATTTTCTTTTATGATTCGTAATGTATAAGGTAAAACGTATCTGCTGTAAACAAAAGGTTTCATTTGTACTGAAGTATAATTTCTCATGGAGGGCTCCTTTTATCATTCTTCCCAAGCTGCAATATAGTGTTTTCTGTCCATATTCTATTCAACGGCAGTAAGTCATTTTGCTTTTTTCATGTCAGCCTCATTCCATTGAGTGCTTCTTCTACTAGATATTTTTGTCCAGCTGGAGGAGGCTGAAGTTTTCTGTCCATGTTCATTAAGTTCTTCTTGGCTATGTAAGAAATATAAAGACCTCACCTGATGTCTTGTTGTTAGATGCTCCAATGTTAATGTCCAGATCAGTAATAACATAGCATATCCAGTAGGCTATTTGTCGTTCAGAAAGACAACAATATCAACGAAGGCAATTACAGTTTATTAAAATTAAAGCACATGGGAACAGGGCTAACCTTGAAGTGGGACAGGACTTTAGCTCTTATGATCCTGTAGAATTAATTTGGAAATACTTTTTTAAAAATCTTTAGAAATGTGTTTATCTGCTCATAATTTTCTTCTTTCTTCTTATCAGCTGTTTTCCAACCTCTCAAATAACAGATGTAGCCAGTATTTAACAGAAATGTGGTTTTATTTGCCAAAATGTTTGCTGATTCAACAAGCAGGCCTTCTAAACAACTGATAATATATTTTCTGCTAACAATCAAATTTCCCAAAAACATACACATCGGCATTACTGCCCTGTGCATGATATGTCATTCTAGGACATGTGTTGATGGGTCTCCTCCGGTGACAGATGGATACAACACGTGATAAAAACAGCACATGAATGAAAAAGGACTATGCCATGAGTGATCTGTGGCTGGTCCATCCAAAGTTCTGTTTTTCCTCTCCTCTTTCTTATCTCTCTCTTTTTGTCTCACACACAGGACACTGACCAAACCAGATGAACTTTTGGGTCTTATGTTGACACAGCTGATAAAACACAAGTGCTGTCTACTTTTACTTCTATTTAAAAATTAACCATGAATACAAAACATACAGTATAGAGGAGTGTGGTGAGCCTCTTTGCCTGGTCCAGTGATGTAACACGCAGACTTATATAAGAGACAGTGCTCTTTAATTGAACAGCTGTCTTCACAGAAATGCCTACGTGCAACTTGTTCAAATATTGCAGCACGACAACATTTAAGAGTCATATGACATTTGCCCCTTAAAAGAAAGCTGCCAGTAACAAGCTGGTGAGTTTGCTGTATCCTGCTGGGGTTTAATGGGGGACTCAGTAGTGCAGTGATCTTTCTCCATCTCCTCCACCATGTGGTTATCATTTCAAGGGTTTTGGCTGGTCCTCTTGTTATGTCTGATAAGCCTCAGAGATGTCGAGGCTCAGTTTCCACGTGCCTGTACAACACCAGAGGCTCTGCAGACCCGGATGTGTTGCCCCCTCTGGAATGGGTCAACTTGTGGGTTTAGCTCAGGGCGAGGAGTCTGTGCACCACATCCTGCAAGGGACCTCCCAAAGCCAGAGGACTACAGGGTGAACTGGCCTCGTGTTTTCTATGATTCAGTATGTACATGCTGGGGGAACTATGATGGATTTGACTGTGGTCAGTGCCTCCCGGGTTGGAGGGGACCCCAGTGTCTGCAAAGGTATCACGTGGAGAGGAAAGAAATAACAGATCTGACGGATTCTGAGAGGGAGACCTTCCTCTCAAACCTGCACCAGGCAAAACAGAGCCCCAGCAGCCGCTACATGATCCTCACAAGCAATGACACAACAGTGGACGGGAACTACGCATTTCACAACACAAGTGTCTATGATTTGTATGTGTGGATGCACTACTACTCAGCTAAGAGTTACGCTGGTTCTGAAAGTAATGCTGCACACAGAGGCCCTGCTTTCCTCTTCTGGCACCGAATGTTCCTACTCTTCATTGAGAGGGAGATCAGGGAGCTCACAGGGAACCAAGATTTCTACATCCCATACTGGGACTGGACCAGAACCAACCACTGCAACATCTGCACCAACAAGTACTTTGGGGGAGTTGGCCAAGATGGCCGTATTGACAGTGCTTCCCTTTTCTACAAGTGGAAGGTTAGATATCAATCTCATTCTTTTCCAAATGCCCGTGCTTTCTCTTCTCATCAACTCATCTTTCTTTTTGCCCCACAGACCATATGTCCATTTCAGGAAAGTCTTGGTATAATCTGCATCCACACTGAAGCCTCTGCTCCTGCATATCTGATCCGTAACCCTGGAAAGGATCCAATCTACAACACACTGCCAACCGCTGGTGATGTTGAAGACACAATGGCAACACCACTTTTTGACACACCTCCATTTGACAAAACGTCTAGGAACAGCTTCAGGAACAAGCTAGAAGGTAAATTGCCTAATACTCAAATTATAGTTTTACTTCAAATATTTGCCACCAGAATTTCAACTATTTGTCAAGAAAGAATTCTCCAACATAAAGCGATAAAAGAGTAAGGTGTAAAACAAGAAAGGCAAAGAAAACCCTAGTTTAATGTGTTATTCTGTCCTCCGAGGTTTTGAGATGCCTGATGATTCACGACACCTGAATGCCTCTATGCACAACCTGGTCCACAGATACCTGAATGGCACTATGTCTCTGGTCCCTACTGCAGCCAATGACCCCATATTCATGCTACACCACAGCTTCATTGACAAGTAGGTCATGTAGTTTTAATTCATAATAAAATTCCCATAAAGGATAGGTTCAGATTTTTTTTAAGTCTATTTGTATGTAATACTAGCATTCCCATATGTACATTGAAAGGGTTATTGGCTGCTGTGATTGTTTTTTCCTCCCATACTGACCTCAAAGAATCCTCTTCACAAAGCAGTTTAAATGTAAGTGATTTGGGATAAAATCCATAGTCCTTGCTTAGTGTTAAAATGTATTATAAAGTTAATCTGAAGCTAATAAGAGACTTCTGCAGTTTGTCGTAGACAAAAAAAGTCTTCCAAAGCTACTTTCTGAAGTAGGAATTTGGCACTAATATGACTGTAACTTCTGAAGATACCCATTTAGCCTGTCTAACTCAGACTGCTGAAGCCTCACAATAGCTTTGATCAAACTTTCAAATGCATTTTTGCGCAGAATGGAAGCTGTGGACTTTTCCCCCATTAAGACAAATTAAAAAAAAATGTGAATCTGTCCTTTAATCTTAGAAAACAAACATACAATTTTGGGTGACCAACTTGGTGCTGTGCTCAAAATCAAGTTAACAACTAATTTAAGTTAACATAATAACAAAAACAATGATTTATTAAAAGGATATTTATAGTATTCTCTCTGCTGTATAAATGGATGTCAGGCTTCTCGAGAGGTGGTTGCAGGACCACGGTGAGGCGACCTACCCTGACAGTGACCAGGTCCCTCCAGCCCAGAGAGCGCAGGCCTACATGGCCCCCTTCTTCCCGCTGCGTACCAACAGCTATTACTGGGGCAGGGATACCAACAGCCTGGGTTACAGCTACAGCGAACACAGCCTCCCTCGCTCTGGAGCCGGTCACGGCGTAACGAGACATGCTGAAGGTAGAGATGATTGTAAAACTAATGTAAGAACAAGTAGGAGCTAAATGTATTTCTACTTTCTTTCGTATACACCTGTCTGATGGTGGTGCACATGAGAAATTTGCTTTTCATTGTCAGAGTTTTTAAAGGAATCATCTCTTGGTGGAGTCCAGTGGCAGTGGCCTGTTCTGGGTGTCTTTAGTGTTGTATTGCTCTGTGTAAGTGTTGGGGCTGCTATTAAATGCAAAGGTGAGAATTATTAACCTAAGATTATCATAAATACATCTATTATGGAGAGGTATGTGTTTGTCTCATCACATCACATCTATTTAGGCAAAAGACAGCAAACACAGGACGCACCGACAGAGGAGAAAGAGTCAGAGGTGAGCCATCACTTTTTAACGATAGGCAGATTTAGATTATTTGCAGATGTGAAGTGAAGAGTAAGTAAAACTAGAAAACTAAATACACAAATAACCTCTGTCTCCCGTGTCTTTGTCTTTTAATGCAGTTTGACTACAGGTCCAACTCTCTGTATGCAGTCTGGGCTAAGGAGAGGAATGGCACCATTGACAAATCATCATCAACCAATGTTGCCTCTTGTGGGGCTCATCCACACGATGCAGCACCCAGGTCTTTATCAGAGGGGAGAGGAGACGGTGCGGACTCAGCTGTGAATGTGGAAATAGACCTTTAGATTTAAAAGGATGGAGAGTGAACCGGCTGCAGAGCACAGGTGAATCTAAGCCTGAAGAGTGTATAGGCCACCAAACAGTGATAGCCATATTATAACAGCATAACATTAGAGCTTAAATGGGTTTTGTGTTATATGATATAAGGTTGTAACTAAGACTTAATTCACTATTAGTTCATCGATTGATTATTTAGTGATGATTTAGTCAATAGTTCAAATATTTCACCCAGTTTTCAGTTTATTAAATACACCTGGCTGAAACTAATGCAGTATAATACAACAGTCCTGCAATACATCCAACCTTCATGAAAGTCATGTTCCATTTTTGTTCAAATTGTTTGGAGTGGTGCTGATTCACCTGCATGATCATTCAATTGGTTTCAGTGAAAAACATATGTCGACATGCTCGTGTGGACATGGCCCACTCCTCTCTACATAGAGAAGCGTCAGTTTACATTACATCCAAACAAAAGATTAAAAAGTATAAACAATGGTGCATGGTAAAATATAAAAGTTTATTATAACAGCAGAGTATGTACAGTGGATAAATTAATTGTATTTTTTCTGCTGATATACAGCTGTTTTCCATGGGAAATATCAAAATGCCACTGGACATTTTCACAAGAAAAAAATAAAGTTAGAATAAAGCTGCAGATACTAATTCATCAGAACTCACACCCTGTCTGTCAAACATGAACTAATGAGAAAACAAAAAATGTCCTGATGTTAATAAATTTGACTATGGTAATTTAGCAAAGCCCATTACATTGTGTGTGCATTTGTTATATGTTTGTCGTGTTTCCTTCCTCATAAAACACCAATTTTTCTTAAAACTTTGAAACCTGCATTGTTTACATACATGTTTAGTAGCCTGCAGTCTTCTACTTCACTGTCTCACAGCACCTTCACATTTCTGTGATTTGACTTGTAACCTTTTGCTCAATGGAACACAGTGAAACCACTGGCTGGAACGTGTATCGTGTCAAAGTACATGCGCCCCTGTGTGGTCAAAAACTCCACAACCTCACAACAGGACCAAAAATAAAAGGAAATGTAATGTGTGCCCTCTATTGGAAAATTCATATGTTCAGTAATGCTCCTAATTTGAGGAACTTTATCTTAAAACTTATTCAGATGGTTGTTTAGTGTCTGAGAGTCAAAGCTCTTTTTTGTGAGTTAACCAACAGGCAGTGGTAGATGCCACTCAGAGAGAAATCATTATGATCATGAGGCCACACAGTGGACACGTTTAGTCTAAATTCCATGGTAGAGGAGATCATATTTGGGAATATTCTGAGGATCTATGGGACTCTGGACAATCATCTTCCCCCGCATGGCTCCTCTGTATATGACCTCAATCAGATCCATGAAATCTTGCTTCGTCTTAAAACTGCCGACAAATTTAGTGTGATCAGGGGAGCTGAAAGAGAAAATGGTAAAACAATTATCAACCAATTACAGATTGTATGTGTATGTGTTGATCCTTAATGTTTAATGACCAGATTGGGAGCAGGATGGTTTAAGAGTGACATTAAAGTAGATCTGAAATGATTAGTTGATTAACAGATTAGTCAATTGACAGAAAAATAATCGAACTATTTTGATAACCGCTTAATCATTTCAATCGTTAGACCAAACAAGTCATTTGAAGATATCACATTCGGCTCTGCAGAGATGTGACTCATTTTTTCACTTATTATTTTTTGATGGTTCGTAGACTGGACTACGAACTGATAATTGATAACGAAAATAAAAATAAAATAAAAGACAATAAGAATAAGCATAACCGATGATGAAAACCTTCAGTAGTTTCAGCTCTATTTAGATCCAGAGTGTCATTTGTATAATTACCAGACACTTGGTTCGCTCACCCATAATCCACTTTCATGTGCTGCCCGTTGAAAAAGAAAACAGTGGAGGGGATGTAACTGATGTCAAAGTATCTTGTGTAGATGGGGGCTTTATCCACATCAACGATGTAGATCGATGCCATGTTACTGAGGTCGTGGGCAGTTTTGGACAACTAGGAGAAAACAGAAATAACAAAATCAGCAAAAGCAAAACACACCGACAGTGAGAATCCGTTTGACTATTTACGTTAAAAGTCTTTCTTACAATCTCGTCGAGCTGGAGGCAAACTGAGTCTTCGTCTCTCCCAAACCTCAAAACTACGACTTTTTCTGCCACGCCTTTGATAACTTCATCTATGTCTTTTTTGCAAGTTAATTTGGGCAGAAACAAACTCATTTTCAAGGCTAACAAAATTAGCTCCTCTTATTTTGTTACTACAGGAAATGCAGGAAATGACGTCGTTCCTTGCCGTACAACACTGTAAAATTCCACCTGGAAACAACAGCAAATTAACGTTATTGTAAATTTCAATATTTTTGTTAATGCCATTTATATCGACGCTAAATAATTAAAGTTATAGTACATTTTATCGGTTAAAACATTTTGTTACAATAAGAAAACAGTGATAAAGATTTAAGACCAGGTAAGCAGTGTCATTTCGCTACGACATTTTATAGTGTGACACCGTGCGGCAACGTGACCTTCGCCTTATTTTTGACAAGCGTGGACGTAGAGACCAATGAAGTCAAATTGGGGAATATTGAAGACATTTGACAGCGTGCAGCTATCACTTCTAATGTTTTTATAAAATGGAAAAGAAGCAGAGTAACATCGGTAACTTTTTTTGTTCCGTTTAAATTCTTCAAGACGTAGTGGCAGCCTGTATTTCCTAGTTTCAGTACATAGCTGCAGTTAAGAGTCATTCATTGCGATGTTACGGCTCTTCACCACCCAGACTTTTCAGGAACTATACAGATGCAGTCGTTCTGTGGCATCCTGTGTTGCCAAGAGGCAGCTCATGAGGCTTCTCCCAGTTTGTCATCATCAAGTATCCGTCCTTGCTCGCCACTTCAATACTGGGAGCCCAGTGTGGAAAGATACCCTCCAGGCTAAAGGAGATAAGTCAGAGGAAATAGACACAATAGATTTGGACAAATGGAAATCTGTAATGAGATCAAAAGCTGTATCAGAAGAGAAACAACAAGTCAGTGATGAAGAGGATGTAAGTGATGATGGTGATGAAAACCTCAATGAACCAGGAGGTGATGTAAAGGACAGTTCTTCCCTGGAGGCAACCAGGGAGATGGTTGTGATGTGGCGGCAGGCTGGGAAGGTTGTACCTCAGGAGATGACTGATGAGGAGGTTCAGACGCTGGCAGGGCTCACCACCAAGTCCTCCAGGAAGAAGTACCTGAAGTACCTGGCCATCAAGGAGAGGTATAAAAGGACCTCTAAGCAGAAGCAGCAGCAGAAGAAAGCGGCGAGGGAAGCCATAATGGAGCAGAAAAGAGAACAGGACAACAATACAGAGAAACTGAAAAATACATTCCTCCTCATGTACTGGAGCCGCTCCCTGGACAAGCTGCTGGCCTGGAGGAGCGCTCAAGCCATGCTGTTCAATCAGCCACTGGTGTTTGACATGAGCTATGAGTCCAACATGTCCAGACAGGAGTTGGAGAACACAGTGTCCCAGCTGATGGAGGTGGAAGGGTGTAACCGGCGTGCCACTGAGCCTTACCACCTTCACTTCTGCAACCTGCAGCCAGACGGAGCCTACAAGAAGGAGATGCTCAAACGATACGGTGCAGAGACCTGGGACCGCCTGCTCATTACCAGCACTGACCGCCAGCACGTCGATCTGTTCCCCCGTGAACGGCTTGTATACCTCACTGCAGACTCCCCCAATGTCCTCCACACCTTTGACCATTCCAAGGTCTACATCATTGGAGCTATGGTGGACCGGTCCATCCAGTCAGGCTTGTCACTGGCCAACGCCAAGCGTCTGAAACTGGCCACAGCCCGTTTACCGCTGGATGAGTTCCTCTATTGGGAGGTAGGAGCCAAAAATCTGACTCTGGACCAGATGATCCGCATCATGCTCACTTTCAAGGACACAGGGAAATGGGAGGAGGCGTTGAACTTTGTGCCTAAGAGGAAGCACGATGGCTTCCATCAGCAGCAGACACAAAAAGAGATAATCAATAACAGAGCAAGGGAAGCCAAAAATCATGGACCGAGAGAGAAAAGTGACAGGCCATTTAGATCTGGAGAAAGAAATACAGAAAGGACATTTAAAAATGTGGACCAAAGTTTTAACAGGTCCCATAAAGAGCTTAGGTTTAACAACAGAGACAGAGTTGCTGGAGTGCACAGTAACAGAGGAAACAAACCGTCTGTAAGCACAGTCCGGACATCGTTTAAGAGCAGCATGGAGGGAAGAAAAGCTGCAGGCAAAAGAAAGATGTGGTGGGATGATGAGTGAAGTCAACAGCAGTTTTAACTTGGGTTAATATGGACATGTATGTTTACAAGCACTGTATGAAGAAATGTAAAAAGAAACGAGACAAGTGGTGAATAAAATGTTTTCATAGATGCTTTTTAGTGCTTTTTTTGACTGTTCTAATGCAGGCTTATAAACAAGACAAGAACAACACATTTTAAGAAAGGTAGAAACTACTTTGGTCTTTATTTTGTTGTGATGTACATATGATGTATAAATATTTTCAAGATGTGCTTTCACTGTAAATCATACCGTCACCATCACGTTCCATATGGATGAAGTAAACCAAAATATTATACATAGCTTTAGAAAACTGTAAAAAGACATAAGCAATAAATTACTAGTCATTTCATAGTAATGTACTCTGAGGCAAAAAATAATTACAAAAACATCACCCTAATGAATATGGCATGATTCAAGGGAAATCAAATAACTTTTCTGAATATGTTGCTTCCATTTTTTTTTTTTTCAAGCAACACAAAAGACAAACCCTGCAAAGAACTGGAACTGTATGTGTGTGTGTGTGTGTCTGTGTGTGTGTGTGTGTACATTTGACAATATCAGGGCTTATAATAATAATAGTCTGTTATAGTACCGGTGATACACTTCAAAAATACTGAATGTATATTATATGTCTTTACAGCACGTAATATACAAATTACATTAATACGATGTTTTTAAATTACAATAGCACCATCAGGAACTGAGAGTCCCCTGCAGTGTAAGAGGCTCACTTATTCTTGTTATTGCACAGTCACAATACATGTACAATGGTGCAACTAGTTTCCTGGAAGGTATTTCCGCATCAGGCTACCCTGGCATACCTCAGACTCACACTTATGCATGACACCTGTTTGCTCTGTTGTGTGAATATGTAAATAAAACTTAAACGCCCACTATCCTAATGGTCAAGTTTGAATAAGCAGACACCCTTACAGTGTCTGTTCACCATGTAACACTGACTCATCTTGACCTCACATCCTATAGCACTTTCCATGGTTTAAACCAGGCTGCAATGGCTCTGAAATGCAATCAACATCATGATTCCTGAAAAAAAACAAAAAAAAAACTAAATATTCTTGAAGAGAATTAAATAAACAGCAGGTTGATACAGTTTAAAACCATAACCTGAAATTGCGTAATTACAACAATCAGGGGTGCTATGCACTGAAATGGGTAGCACAGGCGAAAGACTCACTCCTGTTCAGACCATTTGAAATACACTCTGATGCTGCACTGGGGCCAGACAGGGACATTTGACCTCTACAGCACCAGGATGTCTCCTGTGCAGCGCTCGCAGCAGTTAAAAGTAATGTTCTCATAGCGGGTGTAGGGGTGAAACCTGCCGATGCTTTTCTTATTGCTGAGGAAATTTGATGGGGTGGAGTCACTGAGTGGAGGTTCTATCTTGTTTTCTGAACAGGAAATTGGATCTAAAATCTTCAGCACCTAAGACAGAAAAGACAACACACTTATGAACCTCTGGAGTTTATGAATAATATTAGAAAATGGTTACATTTGTACAAGGATATGGAGTTTGTACCTTCTCAGCCATCTTCTCAGCCGGTGTGCTACAGAGCTGCTCAGCTGTTGCACCGCTGCTCTTCACCACGCTGCTGCTGCCGCTACTGCTGCTGGTGTTGCCCAGCAGGTGGGCATTGATGGCGTCTGCTAGCTTGTGATTGGCTGCTGCCAGCTCCCTTGTGCTGAGGGGTTGTGCACTGGGGTAGTACGTCTGCTGCCTGCCCCACTGCAGGGACACCAGGAGCTGCTCCAGAGATCTGACAACAGAAAAGCAAGCAACATCAGCATATGGACTCTGTTATGATGACTGCTGGTCCTTCACCTTTGGCTCTTCATTTGTACCTGACTGGCAGTCAACGACCACTGACACACACACTGTATGATTCTGAAATGGAGCAGTGAAGTTATGCTTCCATTGGCAAATTGGTTGTCAATGTTTGATTCGTGCTTTAGTATCAGTGGCTTAGCTATGAACTTTAAACCTTATGTGCTCAAGATGTAATGTTCATACATGTTCATGTTTCCTCCAAGCAGAAAAGATTATTTGACCGTTCCTTTAAAAAGCAGAGTCTGTATATTAATTTTCAATAAAATGGGTGAAGGTGCAAAAACAAGGTTCCTTGTTCTCCTAATTTCTAATATCAAATACAACTTCACTGTAAAAAACACTATTCACACATGCCGTCTTGAATTTTGTGAATGCAGAAGAAAAATAGTGAGCTGATAATGAGCATAAATATTAACGTTACCTAGCTAATTTAATTCCTCATGAACATCAAGCCTTCCCACTATAAAGCTATGCCAGTAGTTATCTTCTTACTAACTTTAATTCATGGTAATCCATTAAAAACACATGAGCTTATACAAAGAAAATATAAATATGTCTTGTATGCATTTTATACACATCTCAGTACTTTTTTTTAACAAATGCACTGAACGGTGGACACCTAGAGTAGAATGCTCAATTTCTCAAAATATAGCAATATAAGTAATTGCTAGAAGTGGAGTTATGACTCTATATTATTTATCCTGTGGCCAAATCAAAGGATATAATGGGGCAACATGAACGTCCAGGCAGTCCTGAGAAGTTAAATTTAAAGTTAAGAGGTTACGTGTCATTTCTTTGCCTCATCTTCAGGATTTTTCAGTTGTGATCCATTATGATAAAGAATTTACTTAATTTAGTAATGATGGATCAGTGCTTATGTTACCTGTGAGTGAGCACCATGTCCCCAGAGAACTCTTCTCTTTCTAACAGCAGGTCCTGAATTGCACCTTGTGCCTCTCTGGTCTGTCTCTGTAGAGCTGCTCTGGCATTTGTCAGCTCCTCTGCCATGACTCTGAAGAGACAATATTCATATAAGTGTATATTCAGCATGATAACAGTCACTGTCTTACTGATACTTGCAGAAAAAATTATCATTATTGTCTTATTTCAGCAATGCCCATAAACTGATGAGATATCAGCAGCTGATGGTGCTTTCAAATAAAAAAAAATAAAAAAATTCCCATCCCTTTTGACTGCCAACCATTTCTATTTGTCCCACAATTACTTTGTCTATTTCAAACCTGCTGGCCAGGAACTTGCTCCTCCAAACATCGCACTGGATACTCATTCGCTCCAGCTGCTCTGCGGTGTGTGCCAGACTCCGGCCCAGAGCCTCGTTCTCCAGAATCAGCTGGTTCTTCTCCCGTGCCATACGCTCAAAGTGGTACTGAAGGTCATCGCCCACCGACGCCACCAATAGTTTCTTTAGCTCACGGTTCACCTGAAATGAATAAAGGATAACAGGTTCCTTTCACCGCTGAAGACAATCATGAGGAAATAAACTGTTTCTTTTAAATTTATTTAAAAACACTCATTCACTGAAAAGAACAAAAATACAGTAGTCTTGTCTTGTTGACAATAAAGGGCTTGAATACCCTGTACTAACTACGTTGTACTGTTTTACTTAGCCGTACTTTCTGCAAGTTTTGAGTCTTGAAATAGCAATAAACCTGGCTGTGCAGAGCCTAGCATGTCTAATATCTTAATAAAACAAAAATGCTTCATGGGGGCGTTACCTCAGTTTGCACACGGAGCTGATTGGAAAGGCCTTCCTTGTCCTGTAGCAGCCTGCGCTCCGAATTCTGCAGCTTCTCCAGCTGTGTTCTCCAATCCTCCACCAGAGGCAGCGGGGGAGAGCCCTGCTCTTCAGCATGTTGCCATGCTTCCCCTTTCTCCTCAGCAGGTCCTGTACGGCTGCTCCGGCTAATAGCAGCACGCGGGACAACAATCCTCACAGCCTCCACCTCTGTGCAGGCCTCTCGACTCACCTTGCCCAAGTGGAGCACACCGAGAGGCTGGGGGGCAGCAGGGGGAGCAGGATGGGTAGATTCCGGGCTGCGTTTTGGGCTAGCCACCTTCAGGGGGGGAACTGGAGACAGATCTGGTGGCAGTGTGTCTGTGTTTACCTCCAGGATGGCTGGCGGTTTTTCAGTTTCCATGCCATCGCCAGCGCCTCGGACAGGCACAGTGGCAGAATCTGTAGAAAGTAAATAAGACCATGTTTACACTTTATTTGCTTGGTTAATTGATTAATCACAATTTCACCCAAGTTGCAAACTCAAAAGGGTAGTTTTGACAAACCAATGGTCCAAAACTGCAAGTACACTCAGTTTACTATCATAGGACAAAGAAAAGCATCTAATTGTAACGTTTGATACAGTGAAACCATAAAAATTGAATTGATTAATCAATTATCAGAATTGTTGTAAATTAATTTTCTGTGGATCAACTGATCGGAAAATCAATGCAGCTCAAGATAGGTCAACACATATTATTCTCAGTCTAAAAAGGCTAACTCTGCAAGTTGGATAAGAGGAATCAGTCCCCTGCTTAGTAGCCTTTATATAAGTCAAACTGTATGAAATTTGATTAATAAACAGTGAAGAAAGACAATGGAAACGTGGATTAGTGAGAGTATGTCTTGAACAAAAGTGGTCTCAAACTACTCAGACAATGCAGACGTTTTTACCACTGTTTGTGAAATGTGAATATGAAGAAAACAATGCATACCTCTCACAGCAGAAGTCATGGTGGAGGTTAGCTAAAAAAGAAGCCCGTAGTTTAGGTGAAACCCGGTGACTCTTCTTCCTGTGATGATAAACGAAGGAGAACGTATTTTGTTGTTATTATTTACAGCACTTAGTGTTTGTGACCACGTTCAAAGAAGGCCGCTAGTCAAAGGTCAGGGTTAACAGCTGCAGTATGATAACAACGGTGGCTTTCGATGGTTAGCTAGCTTGCTAACGTTAACAGAAAGTTTAACAAAACAAATAACGGTAACGTGACACCACCAGAATAGCTATTAGCTACATGTTGGAATTCAGAAAAACCGTGAAATAACATACCGGGCGAAAATGGCTCCAACTTCCTCGATTAAATCACTGTAAGCAGCATATAGCTGTTTATTTTGTGACCGGATATGGTTGGCTTCTGACGAACGCTAGAATGCGATTTTCCCTGCGTTGAGCTTCACAGGCAAAACTTCCTGTCTCGTATAGGGAGCACATTGTGCAGTCCTGTGCATAGATCAAAACTACAAATCGAGCTTCTAACCGCAACCATTATGATGGTTTCAACATTAGCTACAACATGTCTATTTTGTCGAAGCAAAAATACTGTACATGAAAGTCTGATAGACTTACCCAGCAAAATAATAGTTATATATTAAAAAAAACTGATCTTCAATCAGTCACAGCGTTATTCTACCAACATTCTCATCTGTTAAGTAATTGTTAAAACTGATCACAGATCAGAAAATGGATGCTGCCGGAAGCTGGCGGTGTCACAGGCGAATGTGGGCCGACTTAAATAACATGGAACCTTTGTGCGTAGTCAATATTTTCTTTACGGACAAAAATACTGTTACCATAAACGTTGAAAAGTGCCGCTTTGGTACGATCCAGTGGTTTAGGAGTAGATTCAAGAAAATGCTCAGTTTAGTCGAGCATAGTTCACTATTTGTCGTGTGTTTCAGGTTTTGACATTCACAGTTTGGGTGAGCTTTGTTACAGTTGTCATGGGAGTGCACGGACTATGGAGGCTGCTGGAGAGCACAGGGAAACCCATCAACCCTGAAACACTGGAGGGAAAGATCCTTGCTGTTGGTATCCTCAACCTGGTGATCTATTACATGGGAGCTATTATATACTTTTAAAATATAATCAACACTAAAACCCAATATGAAAAGGTTTATGATACATTTTTGGTCACTGGGTCACATTACATAAAAGCTATTGAAAGAAAGGCATACCTTTTCTATAAAAATTATTTTATCAAATAGAAGATGCACCAATATGAAGAGGTGTACTGTTTTGCCGATGTAGAAATCGTTTGTGGTATTGATTTGGAGACACCGGTTCACATTGCATGAAAGCTGTCGAAAAAAAAACTTTGATTATTCTGTATTGAAACATTTATGTGAAAAAAAGAAGCATATTAGCAGGTTTGCCACATGAAGCCTAGAATTTGTTTAATCATAATTTTCACTAATATAGCCAACTCAGCAATGAAGTATTAAAAAATATATTGGAATTGTTTGAACATTATTTTGTTGTCATCCTTAGGTCATCTCCCAGGAGGGAGCGCACAGGGTGAAACTGAGTAATAAGACAAAAACTAAATAACTAATAGTAACTTCACCATGGTATGTTGTCTCTTGTATTGATGTAGCTGACTTCTTTTAAGCCATTACATTAACCTCAACAAGACACCTCCAGACATCAGCATATGGCTGAACCAGGCTGTGAAGGGGGTGAGAGACCGTGATGGCAACAGTGTCCAAAACGCCCATCTCCTCACTCTCTTCCACCGCATCTGTAAGCTGCTCTTCTTCCGCATCCGGCCAGTCTTTGTGTTTGACGGCGACGCACCTCTGCTGAAGAAGCAGACTCTGGTAGGTCCAGTGGCTGCTGGAGAACCACGTAAACATTTTGTGTAAATGTTTTCTAAACAAACAGATAAAGGCCATTCCTACCAAAGGGATGTAATTTACATCTATCACTTCATGTGGCTTTGGCTGTGGCTCTCCTGCAGGCTCTGAGGAGGCAGCGGAAGGAGGAGTTGACCCGAGAGTCCAAACAGACCAATGAGAAACTCCTCAAGACATTCCTGAAGAGACAAGCTATCAAAGCTGCACTTGGAGACCGCAGGTGAAGGATAGTGGCAGTGTAAAGGTGGAGGGATGGCAAAGAAAAAACAACATCAGTGTCCAGAAACAGCTGAGTGGTTATGTCCTCCGTCTCTGGAACCACATGACACCCAAACATTCATTGTAGAAACCAAGCCTGCTTAAGCTTTCTCTTGTGTTTTTATGAACATAAGACACTTGGTCTACATTGTTTTGTTTTTTTTGTATGTTTCTAAGCATGTGGCTTTCCAGATACTGTTATTCTATCTCTCCTTTTTAATATACTTTGTATTCTGTTAATTCCCCTAATTCCCAATAAAGTCTTAAAATCTTAAGTGTTTCTCCTCTGTCTCCCTCTCTCCTTGTCTACTGTCTAATTAGATCATCTCTTTAAAAAACTACAAGATACAAGATGAACTGTCTACTCTCTTAGCAGAGTCATTGCAATCTCAGTGGTTTTGTGTGAAGTATCCCTCTTGTTTCTTCCCTGCCACAGTCAGGATCCTCTGCCCAGCCTCTCCAGCGTGACGAGAAATGAGGTGGACGACGTGTATGTTCTGCCAGCCCTGCCGCCTGCAGAGGAGAAGGACGAAAGCAGATCAGATGCCTGGGAAAGGTTACTATTCACTGGTTATCATGGATAAAGAGGAGAGTAATTCAGTGAGAATATGTGCAGTCCACACCAGAGTTTTACAGCCACCCTCTGCATGGTCATAACGTGAATTTTTTAAATTATTTATATAGTTTTGTTTTCAGGACCTCCTTTACATAAACAGAGCTAACAAATAACTAAATACTAATTTTCATGAATCATTGACAGGCACATAGCAAAATGTACTGCTTTATTTAATATTATTTCACCCGTGTAATACTGGTACTATCATCATTTCAATGTGTTCCCCTCACCTTGCAGCTCAGAAGAGGAGCACGACAAAAAGTCGGAGGAGATGGACAGTTATAACATCTATCAGGTGCAATTATCACACACACAAGAGCATCAGATTATCTAGCATCACCACCAAATAATAATCTTGAAATGCTTTGTGTTTTAGTAGGGGGATATATCAGTATAATGTTAATGTTAAGAGATGAAATATTATGTGGAATTTTTGTTTTAATAGTATTTTAATATCACTGGCTCTGTGACAGCAAAGTGATACAGTGAAATGAAATCAACAGCGAAGGCCTCTGTTTGTCCATCATATCTTTGTTTCATAACTGTGTATATGTCATGATCTTGAAAGTGTTTAGAGTCATGTTTTAAAAAAAAAAAAAAAAAAAAAAAAAAAATCATCACATTATTACTGTAGTATGTTCTTATGTTGGTTGATAATTGACATATGAAGCCAGATTGCTCTCCGTGTTCCAGGGAGAACTGTATGAAGATCCCAACTCAGTGGACATCAACTCAGAGGAGTTTGCCAGCCTGCCTCCTGAAATGAAACACGAGATACTCAAAGACATGAAAGAGTTTTCGAAACGTCGCCGGACCATGTACCAGAAACCTCCAGAGGTAAAGATCACCCATCATTCAAACTCACGCACACTCGCCCATCTCCTCTCAACACGGACACCTCTTCACTCCCTCTTAGCTTTCGGGAGACTTTTCCCAGTACCAGTTGGCCGGCCTGCTGCATAGGAACCATCTGAACCAGCGTCTGGAGAGTGTGCAGAAAGAGATGAGCCAGCGGAGTGCCGGCGGCGCCCCGCAGCTCTGCCAACAGGACGGGGACCAGCAGGAGCGCAGCGTAGAGTCACATCGACTGGTTTCAGAAGACCATTCCCACTATATCCTCATTAAAAGTGAGGCAGTTACGTTGATGCGTGTACTCAGTCATGTCAGGACCGTGATAGCTTTAAGTATTTCACAGGAAGAAAAGAAACAGCTTCCTACATAGTCACTGCTCACAACTGAATTATTACACAGTACAATAAAGTAGTACAGCAACTGTTCAGTGTAATACTTTACTCCTCTAAATTGTATTTGTAGCTTTGGTGACATGTTTAAATCCATAGAAACCAGGGGTTGTCTGGAAGGTAGGAAATTAATTTATATTCTTATGGTGTGTATTAGACAGCGGTTGTTGTACAGTAAAGGTTGCATGATTTGTAGAGTGCTCCTTTAACAGGGTTTCTTTGTTAAAAGAGACTGCATCATATTAAACACACTACTACACTTTTCTTGCTCAGGCTCCACAAAGACTAAGACTGCCCCCGAGAGCGAACCTGCAGCTGCACCCTGGTCTGGGAGCTCCCTGTCAGGCTGCAAAAGACGAGCAGTGGACAGACCGCAGCCCCTGTGGCGTCCTGTTTGTGAGGAAGAGGAGGAGGTGCTGCGCCCCTCCTCAGAGGACTCCAAACCCTCAGCATCAAAACCATCTCAGGGAGACGCATCACCGCCCTCCCCTCGTACACTCGAGGCAATCCAGTCTGCAATGAACGACAGCTCGGATGAGGAGAAGGTGGACCAGGATGAGAAGCATGGTAGAGTGTCTCCACGTACACTGCTGGCAATACAGCAAGTTCTGGCTGAGGAGGAAGACGGTGCAGCTGGACGGAGGACTCCAATCAATGGCTCATCCACCAAACTGCAGGTGAATATTCATCGCCCTGCACCACAAGTGGTCATCAGCAGCTCAGAGGAAGAGACCGGACCTAATGATGCAAAGTCTTTACCTAATGATAAAAAGTCAGACTTTAAGGAGAACTCAACCAGCCAAAGTGTACATGTGGAAGATAGTTTGCTTGTTAGTAGTTCTGAAGATGAGATGGAGGAAGTGATTGGTCAGAGAAATAAAGCTCTTCACCTCGCAGTGCAGCAACAACCTCGCGCGAGAGAGATTCAGTCAGAAGAGGAGACAGAGAAAAGAGCGTTGGCAGAGGATATAAGGACAGGAAGTAGAACGCAGACAGAGAAACAAGAAGAGCTGGAGAGAAGAGAAACGGCACACGGACGGATCACAAAGAAAGGGGATCTGGTTCATCCGCAGAGTTCTGCTGCTTCCAGTCAAAACGCACCTCTCAGTGCTGAGACTGAAATTCACCCTGTAGTGTTAGAGCAGAGGAGGAACAAGTCCACCGAAGCTCTAGACGAAAGGAATGGAGATGATGTGAAGTCAAAGGGCGGTGAGGAGAGCGAGTCAGGAGGTAAAAGCCAGTCAGATCAGACTTATTCATCATTTCTTAAAAAGTAAATGTCATTAAACGTGCTGTGCAATGTGTTTCCTCAGAGAGCTTCATCGAAGTCTCAGAAGAAGAATTTAAAGAGGAGGATGCAGATGATTCACTTGTTATAAGAAGAGGGAAAGGATCTCCAGCTGAGGTCCAAGGGGATGGGACAGAGGAAAGTTTGGCCGAGGCTCCAGCTGCTGATCTGAAATCAGAAGAAGAAGAAGAAGACGACGCCACAGAGGGACAGAACCAAGAGAAAGAGCTGAAGGAGGCGACAGAGACGGAGTCTGGCTCAACTCCGGCTGTCAATGAATGGGAACACCTGGATATGGTTAGTATTTCTGTCACATTAATTGATTTAAAAAATATCTATCTGCAATTATTTTGATAACCTAGCTAAATGGCTGCACATTAGCTTCTCAAATTGCTGCTTTTCTTTGTCTTATGTCATGATAAACTGAAATTATTGTGGTTTTGGATAGTTTTTTTTAAGATTTAATCCCTGGCTTGGGAAAGTTGTGATCAGCATTTTTCGCTTTTTAATACATTTTATAAACCAAACAACTGATCAATTAATCCGGAAAATAATTTCCAGATTATTTGACAGTGAAAATAATCTTTAGTTGCAGCCGTACAGTATTGTATAGACATCTGAGAGTCAGGGTTTAATGTCCGATTTTACTTCACCCAAACTGCACAAAATATACTTTACCAAGGACATTTTGCAGTTGAAAAATAGACATGCCATTGTCTTATGGTGGTGGTCAAATTATGTAATGCCATCACTTCTAAATTACCTTAAACATATCTCTGACATACTCGTACTTCAGTTCTTTGTTATTTATCAGCGGACATACACAAGTGTCTCACTATATTTACAGAAGCTACCCCAGAAAAAAGAAAGAGTCCATTATTAGCACACACACTTCATGTAACGTTTCAGGGGGCTGCAGCATGGCAACGCAGAAAGGCAGACAGGTTTTGAATAACATGTTTGAACTGGTCAGCTGCAGTTTAGACCTGTCAGCAGAATAATGTATATGAGCCAGGGCTGATGCCAAGGTTGTCTGTGTGTGTGCGTGTGTGTGTGTGCGTGTGTGCGTGTGCGTGTGCGTGTTGTGCTGCAGGATGAGCTGGAGGCTCTGGAGAGCTCTCTACAGGTGGAGCAGAGCAACCTGAGGGAGCAGAAACAGCAGCAGGAGAGGATGGCGAACACAGTCACCGGACAGATGTACCTGGAGAGCCAGGTGAACCAAAGACACAATACAATTAGGAAAATAGCCGACGTATGAACTTTCTATAAAAAAAAAAAAAAAAATTGTGATTACAAGAATAAAAATTTAAAGAAGAACATGTAAATACTCACACATACACTCTGTCACTGTGACTCACATATGACAATCCAGAGCAGGTGTCAGACCAACTGTGGGATAAATTTCTTTGTGGTGCCTCTGCCAAAAATTCCCAGAGCTATGACGTGCATTCAGTATTACTTGCTGTGTGTGTGTGTGTGTGTGTGTGTGTGTGTGTGTGTGTGTGTGTCTGTTAACTCACTCACACTCTTAAATATCACAAGTTGTCAGCGTTTTCTTCTGCATAAAATCACCACTAATATGAAACAAAGTGTCGGATCTTTATTAAACCCCAGCGGTCACCAGGGATTTGTTTTTGATAACGAGCTGCTAAGGGCGAGGGAATTTTTCAGGAAGGAATTTACTCAATGTCCGTTGAGGGGAAAGGATTATTTTTAAATGAATTAACTTGCAAAAAGAAAAACTACTTAGAAATTTACTGCTGCAGATTTTAAAATCACAATCTAAAATGTATTAAAATCTTGGCAAATAGTATCAGTGACATCTAGAAATGAGAAGAAAGCTTTAAAAGAATTAGGCTTCTAAAATGATATGAAAAAGACACAAACCACAAGATGCTTGCTGAGAGTTGTCACCTTGGATATAGTGCCTTTGTACAAGAAGTGACTGTTTCCTCTGTGAAACCAGGAGCTGCTGCGTCTGTTTGGCGTGCCGTTCCTGGTGGCGCCGACGGAGGCCGAGTCTCAGTGTGCAGCTCTCGACCGCACCGACCAGACTCATGGGACCATCACAGACGACTCGGATGTGTGGCTGTTCGGAGGGCGACATGTGTATAAAAATTTCTTCAGCCAGAACAAATATGTCGAACACTACCAGTACAGTGACCTGCAGAACCAGCTGGGTCAGTGCTCGCCATCAACTGTGTGTGTTTACAAGTATTCAAATACAGTCAATTTTTTATCATGTTACCACATAATAGCGTCAATAAGGTTGGAAGATCCATGAAGTGGACTCTCTTTCTCTCTTTTGATGCAAAATACACATAGAAAAATACATTTTTGTGTTTTAAAAAATCTAAATTCTACCATTTTCTCTTCCCATGAAGTTTTTTTTTTTTACTGACTTTTCTCAGTTTTTGGATATCACAGCCTACTTTCAATCAAATCTATTTAATCAAGTAACGACTCAATATCCTGCTGAATGCAGAAACACCACGAAATGGCATGAAATAATGTCATTTTATGAGTCTCTGAAATCTGCAGACTGACATATGCCAACTGTACGCTGCTCCAGAGGAATATATTTATTCAGTTTTTATTCTACTGAAATGGGAGAGTAGGGTGTTGAAATAGTGCTAAGGTAACACATCATATCAGGAATCTGATAAGCTAATATTGGACATATCAACAACAGGTGTTAGTGGGTGACGGGCTGTCAGCAAACTGACCACAGAGTACACAAGCCTTTACCCTTTTGCTCTCTACCACACTCTTTCTTTCCTCTCCAGATTATGTCAATCTGTAATCATTCTCTCTCTCTCTCTCTCTCTCTCTCTCTCTCTCTCTCTCTCTGTCTCTGTCTCTCTGTCTCTCTCTCTCCCTTTCTCTCTCTCTCTCAGGTCTGGACAGGACTAAACTGATAAATCTGGCTTACCTGCTTGGAAGTGACTACACAGAGGGTGTGCCAGGGGTCGGATATGTGACTGGCATGGAGATTCTGAATGAGTTCCCAGGGCCAGGGTTGGAGCCACTAACACAGTTTAGGTGTGTTTGTTCCAGGGTTTGGTGGAAGTTGTAAGCAGATAATTCTGTTTATTAATGTGTCCGTCAGCAACTCAAATAAGTGTAGGATGCTGTACAAACAATATAGTAAAATACAGTTGTAATAATATGAAATATGTTTTCATAGGAGAAGCTGTAATTGTTCACCAGTATTGTACGTTAATAAACACAGTTTATGTTCTTATATCTCCTTACAACTACTTTATAGTGTGTTAATATATTATTTTTTATTAAATTAAATTAAATTTTATTATATTATCAAAATGAATTTGTTCATTGCTTCTAAGTGCTAAATAGAGGGACTTAAAGTAAAGTGTTACTAAACCTTTCACACTTAATCCCTCCAGTCTCTCCCTACTCTGTCAAATACATGACAAATGTGTAAAATAAACTTATTGTTAAAGTTAATTTATGAATCATTTATTAACAATTCAAAACAAGTGATGAAGGGTTTACAGCTTGATTATTTCTGTAATTTTAAAAAGACATACATTACTTCCCTTCCATGACTTAAATATTTAATGTAGATGTATTATATCCCAAAACATATGTGTTTTGGACTTTACAGTTACAAGTTTTGACAAAATATGTTGATGGTTACTGTTTCCAAAGGCTCATTTGTGTGTGTCTGGTTATTGTTTCTTCCCTCTAGCAAATGGTGGTCAGAGGCTCAGGAGAAAAAGCGTCTGGTGGGTGATCCTCGGGACACGAAGGTGAAGAAAAAACTGAGGGACCTAAAACTGCAGCCTGGTTTCCCCAACCCTGTGGTGGCTCAGGCTTACCTGGAACCGGCTGTGGACCAGTCAGACAGCTCCTTCTGCTGGGGACGCCCACAACTCGACATGATCAAAGAATATCCTTTCTCCCTTTGTTACCGGATGAGCGTTTGTGTGCGCGTGTTTATGAACGTGTGAATTTTCCTGAGCCAATCTCTCACGTTCTGTCTGAGTCGTTTCGGCTGGAGCAGTCGGAAGACAGAGGAGACTCTTCAGCCTGTGATCAAGCAGCTCAACGCCCAGCAGGTAACAGAGAGAGATCTCAGGGCAGTAAATGGAAGAAAGAAAAAAAAACTTCACTATAATCCATTTGTAGGAATATAATTGAAACATGATCATTGGTGCCAGTGAATGGATACCTGAGCTCATAAGACAAAAAAGGTAGAGAGCCGCTGCTCTAACAAAGTCACATTCTCAGTCCCACTGTCTCAGTATCCCTGTCTCTTGAATGTCTCCAGTTTTACTGTCTAAATTTGAAGGAGTCAGGATGGACAGAAATAAAACCACTTTGTCGTCTTACATCTTAATTCTATCTCTCACTGTTTGGTTTCAGACTCAGCTGCGGATCGACTCATTCTTCCGCATGGAGCAACAGGAAAAGCAGGCGATCCGCAGCCAGCGACTCCGCCGAGCAGTCACCTGCCTGAAGAGAAAGGAGAGAGAGGGAGGGGAGGAGGACAGTGAGGAGGAAAAGCCTTCCCCAGTCAAACCCAAGAGAGGGAAGGCGGCAAACAAGAATGCAAAGAAAGGAGAAGGAGAGAAAGAGGAGGAGAATCATCCTGTGGCAGGAGGAGGGTTTCTGGGGTCGGAGGTGATTGGTGAATCTCCGCTTACACCTCTCAAGGATGTGAGCAGCACCAGCCAGGAGTCCCTCTCAGTGAAGGTTGTCCCTCAGTCTACTAAGAGTCTACCTCAAAGGGTCGGGGGCAGCAGCAGCTCCGGCGAGGACAGCGATGGTGGCTGTGAAGTCGCTATGGTTACAGCCCGATCTGTCTTTGAAGGCAGCCGACGAGGCCACAGAGGGAAAAGCACAAGAGGGAGAGGAAAGGGAAGAGGGAAGAAATAGTGAAAAAAAAGTCTTTGCAATTGTTATTAAATATTAATCGCAGAACATGTCACACACTCCTGAATAATGTCGGTCATATTATGTTTGACATTTATAATGGAAATTTGAAAATGCATCATGTCATTAACAAGTATGAATTAAGCTTTGTCTGTGTTACAGAATATGTATTTTGTAAACTATTTATTAGTGGTAAATTTGTGAGGGGATAACAATATATTGCATAAAGTATTTCCACAGTAGACGTCAGTTTGGCTCAAACTTGTCATTTGTTGTGCCGAGGTGTTCACAGTGAGAATGAGACAGGTGCCACACATCCCTTACATTTCTGCCAGGCTGTATTTCAGCTGATCTCTACTTACTGCATACACTCCTGCACTCCTGCCCTGAACACACGTGTATACACTTTTACTCATATGAAAAAAAAATCAGTTATATCTGCATTAGGTTCTGCTTTAATTTGTTAGTTAAATGTGTTAGTTTTTTTTTTTCGTCTGTCTTAATTATAATCATATTACTCCTTTCCCTCTCCAGCCTGGTGGGGCAGGTGCTGCTGTCAGTCAGTTTTACAGCATGAGAGAGGGGGGTGAAGCATGCCCAGAGAGAGAAAGAAATGTGGAGGGGTTGAGCAAGAAGTTAGGAAACACTGTATTTGTGGGTAACTTAAAACCATAGAAGGTTAAAGGCCTGCTAGATATCTGGATCCAGACCGACTTAAATCCAAAGGACTTCATCTGGGATCACAAACCAAGAACGGCAGTTGGCTGCTAAAGGTTTTCTGTTTTGGGCGTCGTTGCCCTCCTCCTGCTTGGACTCCTTCAGACATGGAGACTCAGCAGCCCAAAACCATGGAGGACTCCAAAACTAAACAAGAAGGTGAGAGTTTGGAGTCATACACAACAGGAAAAGAAAAGATTTTTCTTTGTTATTTCAGTGGCATTAATTAGTGCTGGAAGTTATGTCAAGGTCACAATTTGAAGCAAACATGTTATTTTTGAAACTTGCAAGAGGTTTTATGCCGGCATAGTTAAAGTTGAATCCCATAAACCAGCTGAGTATAAATCTAATGTCAGAGCTTGCAAGACATGTCGTGTTGAAATATTTATTCCCTGTAAACAACTGTGTCTCTGCTTGTTAATGATAAAAATAACAGAGATATTTATACACACACAAAAGCTATAAATTGAACTCCTGGACCTCACTCAACCTTTGCATTGTCGCTCTGTGGGCTCCCCTGACCTTCTCTCTAAACCACTGTTGCATAACTGAAGTTGTGTGTCAGACCCTCTGAGTAGCCCTGAGCACTGACACATAGCTGGTGCCTGACACACTGGCATGATGTTACAGACAAACACAACAGGATCAGATGGGCATTATGAGCCTAAATGTGATTTATTTATAGAGCGGAGAATTAAATGTTACTGGCAGTATGATATGAAAGAAAACCATGTTATCGATTATGTCATGATCAAAGTCATTTTGAAACCGTAGCTGGTGGGATTGTTAAACTTAATTACCCCATCTATGAAGATTTTTGCTTCCAGTCCTCTACAATGGAGGAGAATTAAGTTTTGGTTCACAGTGAAAAATTGCATTTAAAAAAAATAAAGCATGTCTTTCCAGATATATAAAAAAACAAAACTCCCTGTTAATATTAATAATCCACAGCCCTCACTATGAAAGATGTTTCATAGGAGTTACTGCATCTTCTAATCAAGCAGCATCAACAGTTTCCCTTTGCAAATACAGTTTTAATGTGCAACTTAATGTGCAACTATAGCAACTTCTATAAATCACAAGTAACAAGGCAGGTACACAGACGAGTCATTTTAAGATGAAAAACTAATCAGTAGTGTGTTCAGCTCAAGTGCAGCTAATAACATTAATTACAGCTACATACCATTAGGTGTATCAGTAAATAATGTCAGTGAGCCAGAATACACAGTAGCAGGTCTTGTAACCTGTGCTGCTGCTATTGGCATCTGCTGTGAAAAAAGTCCATTAGTCTGTCTTGGGTCAGTTTTGCATTTACAATATCACACTTTGTAAACTTTGGTTTGAGAAACACTGTATAAAAATGTTTTATTTTTATAATTCCATGCCCGTCTCTCCTGTGGCTGCAGAGCTAGCCAACGCTATAATGGGTCGGCGTTCCCTCCCCACTGTCATTGGCCCAGAGGCCTGGGAGGGATACAGCTTTTCTGACCTGGAGATCTGCATCAAAGAGTCCACAGACCTGTACGGAGCTGTACTGTGGCCCTCGGTGCGCCCAAGCTTATACACTCATCCCAACATTTAGCTGCTGCATGGCCTCTTCGGGGTGAACTCTGCCAGTGAACTGTAAACTTGTGTCTCTCCCAACAGGCGATGGTGTTGTGTCATTTCTTAGAGACCAACCGGGACAAATACAACCTGACAGACAAAAATGTGATTGAACTGGGAGCTGGGACTGGACTCGTCACCATTGTATCCACCCTGTTAGGTACGCAAACAAAACAATCCAGTGATCATCTTTGGGAGACGTATTGATTTTCAGTCCCTCTGACTTATTCTTTCAAATTTTGTATGTTTGTATGTCATTCCCTTTAACACTCAGCTGCACTGTCTCTCTTCAGGTGCTAAGGTGACCTCCACTGACCTACCAGATGTGTTGGGGAACCTCCAGTACAATGTTATGCGCAACACCAAGGGCAGATGCAAGTACATCCCTCTGGTAGGTGTTTATATTTATATTTCATACTGTAGGATTGATAAATGTATGAAATATATTCATATACATTCAAAACTCCAGCCAAGGTACTGGTGACAAAACAACCATCAGCAAGATATGTTACGCTTTGTTTTGTTTTAGTTGTTTGTCTTGGTGTATATTTGGGTTAAGGACCAAATCTACTCTGTCATTCCGTGATATTTCCAGTGAAACAAAAGTCGACTTTTTCTTTTAAAAAAAACAAACTTTTGGAGGTCGAATATGTTGGTTTAATACTGACTAAATCCACCCTAAACCATCTCTGTTTCCAGGTGACCGAGCTCATCTGGGGTAAGGAGGTGGAGCAGCGTTTCCCACGCGCCACCCATTGTTTCGACTACATCCTGGCAGCCGACGTGGTGTACGCCCACTCGTACCTGGAGGAGCTGATGGATACCTTTGACCACCTGTGCCAGGAAAACACACAGATCCTCTGGGCTATGCGTTTCCGCCTGGACCCAGAGAACAGCTTTGTGGATCGCTTCCGGCAGCGCTTCCACCTGGAGGAGCTGTACGACCTCCCCAGCCTGAGTATCAAACTGTACCGAGCCTGGAGGAAGGACAGGAGGACCAGAGAGCAGGGAGAGGCTGCTGCCTGAGAGAGAACTCTTTATTGTTTCAGTGTTACTCCTGAATCAGGTCACATTTGGAAACTGTCTGGTGTGGTAACGGTAATGTCAAGTGTTTCCATGGGTGTCGTATAAATGTCTTAAACATTGATACCTCATGCTGTTCATAGTTCGACGTGTCAAAATATCATATTTTTATGCATTGTATTACACTATTTAAGGTATTTATTGGTGTATTTATTTTTGTCTATTAGACACATTTCAATATAATACAATACCATTTAACAACATGACAGCCATCATTTATTGCTTTGCATTTCATTTATGTGTTCTTTAATAAACTGTCAACTCCATATGTCTGGATACACTCAAGGCTTTTTCATATTGGTGTTTAATAAGTGGCTGCTTTGGATTCATCATAAAGGCATTCACCTTAACCAACGACACCTGTGCTACAAATGATGTCACAGCGTCACATTAGTGAAGAACAACCTCTCCACCACCTCTCTCTCGGCCGACTGTTATTTTGGGATTTCTGATGACCTTCATTTAAGAGGTCTGTTACTATGTGACTTCACATGGACCATGTTGGGATTTATCCCCTTTCATAATATAATATACAGCAGGAAAACTATATATTCTATAACTATATCACCTTAAACACCATCTTTCTTTAACCAAATGTATTCAGCAAATCTAACAAACTCAGTGAATATAAAACTACAAAAAATTGTTTAAAAGGTTTATGTTGTTCTTTTTTTTATGTTAACACCTCTATAAGACTTCCTTGGGTAACATCACCGGTAAAACACTTTTAAGGAGGTCAAATGAAAGATCACGTCCATGTAGGGCAGTATGTGCTGCTTCAGTAACATGAACACCAACATGTCGCACAATTTTTCCGTGTTTTGGAAACTCACCAGTTTGCATGAATATCTTGGAATGAGTCAAGTTAGAGCCACTTGCAATTAATGTGACACCATTAAATCTGATATCTAATATATGATTTTAAATCCTCCAACATTTTAAGGGGCATCTCCTGTCTTGTGATTCCTTGTCTTTTTGCCCACCATGTGATGTGTGTTGTTTGGCTGCAGGAAGAGAGGGGTGGTGAAAAGGTGGATTAGAGAGGAACAGAGAGGTTCTCTAAAGCCAATGGCAGTGAAGCACCATGTGTCATTGTCAAGACAAACAACCACACAACAGCTGAAAACTGCCCGCCGCGGCCCTGTAGAGATATCCATTAACCTCATCACTCTTTCTTTTCACAGCCTCTTGACAAACATCCTTTCACATCCTTTAGAGAGCCAGAGCTAAAACGCTGCCTTTCATCAAGCTGGAAAACCAAATAAGGCTGTTCCACATCTACAACACAGCTGGGCAATGACCTCACCACTGTGTCCTCTCTCCCACTCCTCATTAACGTGTCAAAGCACCCGCGGGTCCTGGATGCAGTTCAGGTTTTGAGATGGGAGAGGATTTATTTTGACGAAACCAAAACTGGGTGATACCTCTCGGTGAAGCGCTGTCAAAATATAACCAATGGAAGTCTAATTGAGTTTTATATTACAGGAGCCCCCTTCTTCTGTACGGGGGGTTGGTACATAGGGGTTGCATGCCAGCCTGATCCTGTTACTTCCCATCTCTGGTGAAGCACTTGAAGCCATTGCAGGAAAAGCATACAACACAGGAAAGTTCCAGATTACCTTTTTTAAATAGACTCTTGGTTTGATGAAAAAAAAAAGCTGATAAAAGCAGAAGAGACACAAACTTAATAGAAATTGAAATCAGTTAATGAGGCTTTTAGGTTTTGGTTGCAGCACAAACACCTAACGGCTGCCTGCCAAGATGCTATCAAGCCAAATACAAATCATGCATTGGCCTGGTTTTCAAGAGAGCTTATCCCTCCTGTGTGTCTCTGTGACTATTTGTAGACTACTAAGTGAAACTGATGCATTCCCAGTGTAATGTGCAGTATCTGGACTGAGTGGAGCCCACAACTGTATCCAAATCATAAAAATTGTGTTTGGTCATTGTAGCTGGAAATCAGTCAGTAGTTAGTGTAGAAGCCAGGTTTTACAGGTTTGGTATTCCTTCATATTATATCCTTATCAAGTTGTATCCACTGTGAGGTTGCAGACCGTGGAGGCTTCAGCTGACATCCATGGCTGTTGGTATCATGGCATTCCTGCCATTCTCACTGCTTTTGGCTTTCTTCATCTTTGTTGTTGTTGTTGGTGTGTGTGTGTGTGCGTGTGTGTGTGTGTGTGTGTGTGTGTGTGTGGGTGTTTAATCTACGTGTGCTTCTATCCCTCTTGTGTTGATTTCTCATGGGCATGGCTCTAAAAATATCCTTATGCCCTTGTGATGATGATGGGTGGGTCCAGCAGGATGCTGAGTCTCTAAAATCCTGCACTCAGAGGTCTCCAGATGCAGTCGTATTGCTCCAGAGATCTTGCACTGGAAAATAAAGCAGCAGCAGGTCAAAGGTCACAGGTAGGGTGGCTGACTTGAGGTTTTTCACTATATTTGTAAAAGTTATGGGAGAATTACTTTTGTTTTTCTTAAACAGAAATTTGGATTGTATGTTAGGATTTGGGAAAGTGTCTCCCATGTTCTCTGACTAAAAATAATCTTTTAAAAAAATTCTATCTATTGTGCTCTGCTTAAAAATGTGACTGACACATTGAAGGGCTGTATTCTCCCAGACTTGTCTACAAACAGTTAAATTATGGAGAGAAATTAGAAACATAGGTAAGTTAATAAAGAAAAAAAGCACATATTACATGAAAAAAATGTCTAATTGAAGCTCAATTTCAAATGCACTTGATGTATTCTCTCTCTATTTGTTTCTTGCATAACTGATAATGTCAGTTTGTCCAAGTCTACAGAGCATTTTATATGGATACTCTGTCCAGTCACTCTGTGGAGGAAACCAACTGTATGAGAAGTGGAGAGGAGGGAGAAGAAAAAATAGAGGAGGAGGAGGAAGGTGGAGATGAAGAAGATAAAGAGAAGGAAAAATGTAAGATGAAACACTCAGTGTTACACTTTGTGAATCAGACCCCACAGATGTGAGAGCAGGCTTTTTTAAAAAAATCTTTCAGATGATTCACAAACCGAGGAATCAGCTGTTCAGAGGCAACAAAAACCGCCTTGGGCTCCATGTTTCTACTACAAAACAGATAAAGAGGTGTATCATTATGTTGGGCACAAGATCATCATCGAGGAGGCTCTGGACTCGTATGCAGGCATGATATGGCCAGCGGTGGGTAGCAGTGTTTTTCAGCTTTGGAACCTTATGTTCATGTATTTGCCATAAACCTGTGCGTCCCATTATACCTGTCCATACTCTCTATTCCCTACACTCTGATTCTGAAATCAACTGATACATTACAAAACTTAAAGAAAGCACTGACTAAATGTCACAGTGTTGAATATTGATATTATATTGACATGTTAATGTTGACTGTCCTAAGGCTTTGGCTCTCTGCAACTACCTTGACACTAACCGTGAGCAGTTGAATCTCATGGACAAAGCAGTGCTGGAGATCGGAGCAGGAACTGGCCTTGTGTCTGTTGTAGCGGCGCTCCTGGGTATGTAAGAGGAGAGCACCATGAACCTGTTCTCAGAGACACATGAACGGATTACTGGACAGACCGACCAGGCAGAGGCCCAAGGGCTGAAGAGTTCAGGCAGCCACTGGGCCAGAGCCTCTCTATGCAGTGGCTGTTAAACTGTCAAAATCAATGAAAAGATAACAAAGAGATGCACACTGAACACAAAGTGATGACTGAAAATGACTATAAAGAGAAACAAATCTACCACAATGAGACACAAAATTGAACCATAATGAGACAAAAAATTACTTCAAAGAGACAGAATGAATAAAAAGAGATGCAAAAAGACAACGAAGCCACACACAAAATTGCTACAGAGAGGAACAAAAGGAATATGAGACGAAATGACAATAAGGAGACACGAAATGACTGCAAAGGGATGCAAAACAACTACAAAGAGCCCAAATAAACACAAAAGGAGACGCAAATTGACCATCGTGACATGCACAGTAATCACAAATAAAAACTAAGTGAATTGCTTACAAATAAATAAACAACTTTTAGTTTGGATGTCGTGCTCCTAGGTACAGTCAGAGGGGTGGGGGGCCTTTTACATATCTGTGCTCAGAAGGCCACTGTCTCATAATCCGTCAATCCATTTTTTGTTCCTGTCCTCAGGTGCATGGGTGACAGCTTCAGACCTTCCAGAGGTCCTGAGCAACCTGAGAGTCAACCTGAGCAGGAACACCACTGGCCGATGCAGACACACTCCCCAGGTGGCAGCTCTGTCCTGGGGCTACGACCTGGAGGACACCTACCCTACATCTGTCTACCGGTACGACTACATTCTGGCAGCTGATGTGGTCTACCATCACGACTTCTTAGACGAGCTCCTGGCCACCATGAAGCATTTCTGCCTACCAGGAACGACTGTGATCTGGGCCAACAAGGTCAGGATGGAGAATGATCTGACTTTCACTGGGAACTTTAAAAAGGCCTTTCACACAAGTTTACTGGCTGAAGACGGAGACATGAGGATCTTCATGGCAACGTGTAGAGAAGAAGAGGGAGAAGGTGATGAAATCCAAGATCTGCTGAGAGAGAAACAGGAAGATGAAGATGAGAATAACAAAGAGAAGCCTGTAGAGGAAAAACACAACGAGGACGAGCTTCACTGTGTCAATAAACAAAAAAGTGAAGGTAAAGAAAACAGTAATGATGTAACAGAGGAGCCTCACATGTTAGAGGCAGAGAGAGGAGATGATGAGGAAGAAAAACATGAGCATGAGTGTGATGAAGAGGAAGAGATGGAGGCGACAATGGTCCTTAAAGATGATGAATATAAAGAGGATGAGAAGAATAAACCAGAGAACAATGATTCAAATTGCAACACCACAGCCAGTGATGTAGAGACTACAGGTGAGTCATCTGTGGAAATGCACATTTGTCTACCAAAACGTATCGAACGAGTCTGCTTACCACAAACCCCATTACCTTGTGTTCCAACCCACATCGCAAAAAGATAAAACATTTTCTCACTTGCACCTCACCATGAAGAGATGAAGAGAGATTTCCTTTTATTTGCTCAGGTTTTGAGATATCTGCCGCCACATCAACACCAGGGACTTCTTCTTCAGTATAAAGTCATTCTAATGAAGGACTGTTCACAATGTCTGTCGAACTGTCGATGCTCCACTTTGATCCAGTCGAAAATATCAAAGGTTTCTATTCCACAGTGTGGAAATACTCTGTTTCAAGTACAAGTCCTGCAAATAGTACAAAAGTCAAAATATACTTAAAGTACCAAAAGTAAAAGTACTCATGCAACATACAAATTAATGATATGAATCCAACATATAAACACTGACTGGGAGCAGTTTTCTGCATAACGAGTCGTTTTATTTTTTTATGCTTTAAGTAAAATTTCCTCATAATACTAAAGTAAGGTTTTGAATGCAGGACTTTTCTGTGCTGTGGAGTATTTTCACAGTGTGCTATTGCTACCTTTACTAAAGGACCTGGAATCTTCTCCCACCACTTTCTGGCAGCTTTTACTTAAGTGAAAAAAACTATTTTAGGACTTTAATGTGTCTGACAAGGTCAATGGCAGGAGAAAAAAAATGTGAGATGTGAGACACATAATGGTGAGGCCAAAATCTGATGAAGCCAAAATGCGGTGAGGCCAAAACATTACCAATCCTCAGTGAAACCAAAGGGCTGATGTACTTTGCCCACTGGTGTAGAGTGTCTGACTTTAATAGGACAAGAAGCAGAGACTCACTTTTTCCATGGCAGCGAGGTTATTTGGTTCGCATACAAAATCATATTATGTTCTGTGCCTGTCAAAGTAATGATGTTCATCTTTTTATTGCACCACATCATCGTTGCGTTGATGTTTGTTCACTGTAAATCTATATTTTTGTCTTTATTGTGTTTGATTTTGAGTGGAAACTTAATTCTGTTTTAAAGGGCACGTGTCACTGATGCAGAAACCTGAACAGCAGGGCCGAGTACCAGCCTGGGTTTCCAGCATCCAGAGCACCTTTGGCAAAGATGTCTACCATTATGTAGGACAGGACATTGTCATTTATGAATCCATAGACTCCTATGGAGCAGTGATGTGGCCAGCGGTGAGTATTTCTCATAAAAGGAGAAAATGCTACATTTATCTTAACATCTCACCTCCGTTGTGTTATTCATTTCATTGTTTTTCGCGCAGGCCTTGGCTCTCTGCTCTTTCCTGGACAACAACAGGGATGAGGTGAACCTGCAGGGGAAGGAGGTGCTGGAGCTGGGAGCAGGAACAGGACTGGTAACCATCGTGGCCAGTCTGCTTGGTGAGCAGTCACTAAAGTCCTCATGACTGTAAACACAAACGCAACGCAAAGAATGTCAACTCAGAATTAATCATTTATTATATTCTATTATATACTATACTACGATATCTACTATTAATTTTTTATTTTCATAGTATATTAAACTTTATATTCTGTACTATACTCTATATCAGGTTATATTACTACATTATTTCAGCTTATATTTTCTATTCCATACTTTATCTACATGTACATATTTTACAGTATGTAATGATACATAATGTATCATATTATACTATATCATGTTCATATGTTACACTGTTTTATTACATTATATATTAAATTGCATTAATATAACTAATACACACAGGTGTATGCTGATACAGTAAATGGTATCACTTTACTCTTGCTGTTACTGAACACATCACAATGTCACTCCACTTGAGGCAGTATTGTTTTTCGTTGTCATGGGTACTGCATGTGTGTCGCTCGCTGTGGGATTGAATTGCTCTTGAATAGTTCCGCAATAGTTGAATTGTTTCTATTGTATCTATTCTTATTTTCATTTCATAAACTTATTAGTTCTACTTATTTCTGTCCTTTTGCTGTGGAAATAGCTGAAATTCCTCTCGAGGATCAGTAAATGCTCATTTTATCTCATCTTAAAACTAGTATATGTGCACATACTGTAAAAACAAGCTGTAGTTAACTTGCACTATATAGCATGAACCAGTGTATTTGAACTATTCTGTGTGTCACAGAAATTGTGTACAACCAAAGTACAATTGATAAATTCCTAAGCACACTTAGTGATAATAATTAATTTACCAGACTTGAAACACTGATGACAGAGGTATTGTGTTACAGTAATCTTTTAGTTGCCTTTAGGCTTTTCTCATTCTCATGTGGTAATGAAGTTACAAGCGGAGACACAAATGGCCAAAGCACAGCATTATGGCCTTATTACAGGCCATAATGAAAACAACAATATGAAAGCGTCTGTCTCCACCAGTGAAAAGGATTGCATTGGATGTATTTGGACAAGCTTCCCACTAAAACCACAACAACTAACTGTCTTTGCCCACAGCTGCGTCACCACACAACAAATGCCAGTGTGGTCATTTCCTGTTATTGTAGTGACACACGTCATGTTTCTGCATCCTCAGGAGCTTCAGTCACGTCCACAGACTTACCGGAGGTGTTGAGTAACCTCAGGGCCAATGTGATGAGGAACACCCGGAAGCATTGCAGACACACACCCCAGGTGGAAGTTCTATCCTGGGGCTACGACCTGGAGCGCACCCACCCTACATCCATTTACCGGTACGACTACATTCTGGCAGCTGATGTGGTCTACCATCACGACTTCTTAGACGAGCTCCTGGCCACCATGAAGCATTTCTGCCTACCAGGAACGACTGTGATCTGGGCCAACAAGGTCAGGATGGAGAATGATCTGACTTTCACTGGGAACTTTAAAAAGGCCTTTCACACAAGTTTACTGGCTGAAGACGGAGACATGAAGATCTTCATGGGAACATGCAGACACTGAGAGATAGAAAAAGCATCCATTGAGTACCGGACTGGCCTACTAGGTACAGGCCCAGGGGCCCTGAGGGGTCAGACCGTCTGAACTGATTGTGTTTAACATTGGTTGAAAAGTCAAAGGGGCTCAGTCAAAAGTAGGGAGGAGTCAGTCACATTTATTTGTGCCTGATTCCAATAGAAAAGCTCTGCTTTAAGAAAGTGTTACCTGCATCAAAGATGTTTTCTATATCTTCTATATTTTGTAGACGATAGTATTCTGCTTAATATCAGTGGAGTGTCCGTTTGGATTTGTTGTTAGGCAGCCTCTCTTCATCCCCTGCATGAACAAAATACAGAAGTTATTCATACCAGATACTGACTCGTTTTTGATCCGTGACACTTTCCCCCAAAAATTGCACATCTGTATCCCCGATTCTTGAGAAATCTACAGTTCAGTGCCTAATAAATCTCTAAATAGAACTGCATATTTCAAGATGGCCTTCTATTGTGACCAGCCAAAGCTGGACACCTGTCAGGTGGATGGATTATCCTGGCAAAGGAGAAGTGCTCACTGACATGGATTTATACACATTTGTGAACAAAATTTAAGAGAGAGAATCCTTTTGTATGCTTAGGAAAAGTCTTAGATTTAGAATTTCAACTGATTAAAAATGGGAGCAAAAACAAAAGGGTTGCATTTATATTTTTGTTCAGTGTACATTATTGTTTTCAGAGGATAGTTGATAGTACAGAGGCAGACAGGAAACAAGGGGATATGATGTGCAACAGAAGTGTCCAGCTTGAATCACACCAAGCACGTTGCAGCAGGGTGATGCGTCTTGTCCATTTAGCTACAATATTCCTTATACAGATGCCAATGATCTTTTTTTAACCCTGTGTAATCCAGGTCTGATACTGTATTAGCATGAAAAGGACAAATCTGTGCCACACGAGTCCCAGAGTTGTGCACTGGAATCATATCATTGCTCTTAGTGTGGATCTGTGAATTAGTTAGTGAATTGTTTTAACAGAAAATGAATCAGCAACTATTTTGATAATCGATCAATTAGTCATTTTTCAGCACACAAATGTGAAACATTTGCTGCTTCCAGCTGTTCAGATGTGAGGAATTAATGCTTTCCTTTGTTATATATGAAAATAAACCAACTGTTGCTGGAATGAAACAAGCTGTTTGAATAGGTCACACTGGGCTATGGGAAAGTATGATGGACATTTTTTAATTTTTTTTCAAAAATTTATGAAATGCCTGTGTTTGTTTTTTTTACATTTTGTTTAATGCAGTAATAAAAATTTAAAGGAAAACCCTTTGTCTCTTAACTTGTTCTTATACTTTATCTTGTCTTTCTGGGAAAATACTGTCCAGAAGTATAATATTCTATCATATTAGAAAAGACAAGAAAAAATATAGAAGCTGTTATCAGGTGGCTGAAAAACCTAATTTGCTGTATTTTGATGTATGTACAAGTGATGACCAGTGAATGCTTTAATTCTTCCAAATAATATTTATTCAGTGTCATTTTCCTTGTTTGTGACTTAAAATTGTGACAGTAGCTCAGGTCTTTCCAACATGTCATCGAGGAAGAATGGGTATAAAATAATACTGAGAGCATACAACCTTATCTCATAACATTCTGTAAAATATTGGCATTTACTAGATTTTATGACTATAAATATAAACACTCAACATCCAGAAGAAGCATTTCTGAAGTCTTTCCTGACACCAGCAGAGTGAGAGCAACAGATATGAGAAGTCTGGTGCCAGAAATGGACGGTACAGTCCTGTGGTGAAAGTTAAGGCCATTTTCGGAGAGACCGTCATTGGCAACGCATACTGTCGACAGCTGAGCCCTGAACGTAACATCTGTCTGAAAACAAAACCCAAACACAGGAACAGAGGAGAAAAAGGACGAAGAAGCGGGAGAAAACAGAAGTTGCAAAAGGTAAAAATGAAGACAAATAAGAAGAAAACCCAACTGACTCCAGTAAACCCCTGCGCACATGGAGGGGCCTGTGCTGAGGCTGCTGCAGAAAGTGCACACACATCACAGCTAAAAACAGAAACGCAAGGTGTTCTTATCCCTGGGTAAACATGAGTTGTGACCACTGATTTGCTGTGTATGTATGGCCATCCCAGAAAAGATTATTTACTCCCATGAGGGCGAAAGGCCTTGGCTTGGAAGCAGCTGCTTTTACATTCTTAAGCAAGTACCTTCTACGTGTCAGAGGACTTAAAACATCAGGGTAAGAGGACTCCATTAATTAAAGCAATTATATCTAAACCGGTGGTTTTCCTTCTTCTATTCAATATTATGTCCAATTCTATCATCTTTATTTTTTTTTTTTTCTGGTAAAACTTGCATTTTCAGCCTTCATACCTCCTTTACAATTAAACCTTCTTAACATGGGAAAAATCTTTCTTTGGTTAAACTCACAATACTACAGACTGTGACAGGAAATCACAGCTTGTTTTACAGATTTATAAGTGAAAAAGGTGAAGAATCATGAAAATAATAAGGTAAAAACTGAATATGTAGTTTGTATCTTAAGCATGGTCCTCTTTCGGATGGCGCTGTGGAAACAAAGAGCCATGTGTCCTCATCTGTTAAATGATTCAGGTGAGATGTTTTAAAAGGACCATACCAGTGTTTTTGCAAGTTCTAGCTCCTCAACTAAAAATCATGTAAACCTGACATTTTTGCTGACCATTTTCAGATAAATTTTTCCAACCATTCTGTACAGTTGTTGTCTCCCATTAATTTCCATATGATATTGAAAACAAATGGTAGACTTTCTCTCTTTCAAAGGGGAATTCCACGGATTTACACATTTAAGTTAAAAAGTTTAAAAATACAAAATCACTGGCATCATCCTTTCAAGTAAATAAGGTATCTGAAGAAAAAAACTCATGCTTAACCACCCTCTAAATGGCTATCATTTCAGTTCTGTTCATGTACACAAAATATGCTCACAGGTACACATAAAATCATTCACAAACACACACTCAGAAAGTAGATATTGTCAAAATCTTATTCTGGATTAAAAATCTTTCAAATTGAAACAAACTAAAATCTGCTTCCAAATAAAACCATTTTCCTTACATCCTAGAAGACATGCATATATGCAAAATACATAAGTAGAATAATATTTGTATTATATACCTATTGCATCTTAATATTCTTTATGTTACGTGTGTATGTACATCATTTTATGACACTGTGTACAAGTGCAACATTTTGAATGCTGCAGAGAAACATCTCTACTACTGTGTGAACATTTTACAGTGAAATCTGATCTGAACATCCTACCGCTGCCTACAACTGCATCTGTTATGTTAGTGAGGTCTGTTTGATGGTCGTCAAACGTGCCGCTCAGGTAACTGCAGTGTGAAGTGGGCGGCCAACACCTCTGGAGGTTAAGTAGAACCCATGACAGTGCGTTTGAGGATTCCTGACGAATCTGCATACAGTGCACGGACACTTCACACTGCTGATGTGAGCTTTAAAAATCACATTTGACACCAAAGGCTGATGGGTGAAATGACTGAGTGCCAACTGACGCTATTGATTCTGTAGCTTCCTGTGGTCAAAACCCTCGCACTTAATCTTTCATCCCATCAGAAAAAAGGTAAGGTACATGTAGAAAGGCACCTCATCACTGTTGTGTGGTCTGAGACTGTGTAATGTGAGTCAGAGCCTAAAAACACAAGACAAGACTAAACCTTAGCTATATCAACCTGGACAGGCTGGAACGATCAATAAACAAAGAAAAAAGAAATGAGGTTCTGTCCGAGCCTCCCTTATAATTCAGGGATCAAACAGACTCTGCATGTCTGTACGTCCGAACATCACGTAGCAGCGAGTCTCTTCTTTCTTATCACTGAAGTTGTGTTGTTTTTCTTTTTAAAGTGACCATATAGGATCACAGTTTTTTCTTTTAAGAATTGGGATGCACCCCTGGAACCCGCACTGGCCCTTTTACAGTATTTACATGAGAGAATGAGGTCATTAATATGATATGGAGCCCGGACAACTGAAGAGGGTAGGTGGATGTGATAACCTCCGAATATGTAGAGAACACCAAAATAAAGGACAACACCAATCATAGATATCATTAAGCTACAGTATCAGCAAGCCTTGGCAAGAGTTTTTAACATTAATTTTCTTTACCTTTTTTCAGTTGATGATATTTAAACAAACAGCTGAGGCAGTCACGCTACATGGTCGGCAGAGCTGTGATGGTCAGCAAGACATTTAAACACCCTCTGGTTTGAATGGCTCCACCACAGGATTAACGCCTTATAAAAGGTGTCGAGTGCATCAAATTGTTTACACACAGTGTTATCCTTCGTTTTGGTGTTTACCTACATCTGAATTTGAAAAACAAAGTAATTCTCAGGAGGCAGCTGGTTGGTCAGATGCATAGACCATGTGACCCTGAGGGACATGATGTCTAACTTGCCATGTAATGGACCATATATGGCCATGCTGCTCATGCACATGTGTGTGTCTGTGCCTAGAAAGGTGTGTAGTCAGCAGGGTACATAATAGGGAGCCAGTTCTCACTGAAGGTTGCGCAGTGTGTCCATCGGAGATGTCGCATAAGCTGGAAAACAAGAAAGAGGAAATTACTTTCAGGGAACAAAGCTGATGTTTTGCTATCTGTTCTTCTGATTTGTTCGATCACAAACGTTTTAAAGTTATTCCACTCAAGATATTTCCTGGATATTTTGACTCTTTACTCTCCGACAACGTATGACTGAACAGATATCAGACGTCTCTCATACCTGGATGCAGTTCTTCATGTTCTCTTTGGTGGGTTTCTCCTCCACCATCTTTGAGGCATATTTTAAGGCTCGGCTGTACATCTTGTTCACCAGAGCGTGTTTATATGAAAACATCAACACCTGCACAGTGGGGAAAAAAGTCAGAAGACAAACTATATTAGCGTAACATTTACTGAATTAATACAAAAGTGGCTTTCTGGAGACATACAGTACAACCAGAGAAACTGTGGGAAAGCACATTGTTTTAGGTACGACCTTCAGAAAGTGTGGTCCTAATGACTGTTTACACAATGTTATAAAACTGAGAAAAATTCACAGCTAACATACATGGGTATTAAAACATGGTAACTCTGGTGTTATTCTATATTTTGTAATTCTCGACAAATCCCATGAAGAGACCAAAACTATCAATGAATTAATCCCAATAAGTATTGTGTGTGTAGCTTTGTAGCTAAAAAAAAAAAAAAACTATTAAAATACCATAATCCACACTGTTGCACTGGGTGAGGCCCACGTACAGTACACCATCCTGCTGCTGTAAATACTCACTACTGTACCAAATGTGTATGAAACGACAGGTGACTAACGTTTGCTTAAACCTATTGTGCCCAGCCGCCTTATGAAAGTAATTAGCCATTTTTATTTATATAATCATGACCCATTTTATAGAGATTTGTGTCTTCAGTAGCAGGCAATAACTCAGAATAACACAGCAGGGTAGGGAAGTAAGAAAGTCTTGAGCCTTTAACTAACTTAAATTTCCTCTATTACAATGGAATAACTTTGGCCTTTTGTAAAAACATTTTGCTTGCCTTGGAGTCAGTTAGCTCTGCCCACTTCTGCACCTCCCAAAATGTATCGGTCAGGGCTTTAGCCACGTTATGAATGGTGTCGTCAGAACTGCTGGCCACCTGCTCCCCGACCTCCTCCTCTACTGGTGCTTTTCCTGTGGTGACAGCACTGGCGCCCTCCTGTGAGGCGGTGGGCAGCAGGAGCTGGTCGGCCAGAGCGCAGCCCTTCCTACACAGAGCGTCCAGCAGAGACGACTTCTGCTTCTCCATGTCACTGAAACACAGATGTTGAGGCCATTTTTAAAAGGAAATCTAATTCTAGATGCTGAATTATTGTTAGATATCACACGAATGTAATGTTCAGTGCATGCATTCAAAGAGTTATTTTGTGTAGTTAAGCCACGTTTTCTCCTGCTCTGCTTGCCCCTTCTATCAATTAAGTATGTGTTGATGAAGGATCCTAATGATGTTCATATTTCTACTCTTAATTCTATTCTCCAGTGTGACATACGTCTTGATAGAAGCAGCATCGGGCCGAGGGTCTGTCTTCATGGTGAGGTAAACAGCCAAGGCCGTCTGGTCGATGTGGGAGATGACAATGTCCGCGGCTGATACCACCTCCTTGAGACGTTTGACACGCTCCTGAACACAAACAGGAGAAGGAGAAATGACTGTGAGCAGAGATAGTTTCATAGTTTAGACTCCAACTTCAGGAACAAAATAATTCCGTCCTCCTGACAGGGCTTTCTCCATTTCCCTTTTCTCTTGCTTGTGTGCACTATCACCTTCTCTGAGTCCAGCTGGTGCAGTCTTTGCACATGCAGTGGAAGGTAATCTGAGTAGTTTTCCATCAGTTCATCATAGATGGAGTTGGAGTCCAACCTGAGCAGCAAAGAGAGGACAGGACACATGGTTGAGAGAGAATTAAAAGAATAAAGGAAGCAATGTGTTGCTGAACAAAACAGAATAGAAACTGTACGCACTTTGTCATCCACTGAATCTTCAAATCTCGCATGGCTTCTGCAAACTCGTCTTTCACATCTTTCTCTTTGTCTCCTTCCTTGTCCTTCTCCTTCCCTCCATTCTTTGTTTTATTGGGAGCAGGAATTAAATGGTAGACCACAGGTACAATATCCTGTATGAGCACAAAAAAAAAATGTTTAAGCAAAAACCAATAACTAATACATTCAACAAAATCCATGACCTCTTTTTCTACTCTGAATCAGCCAGTTCTCACCCTACCAACCACCTCCTTCTGGTTCTCTCCATTTAAATCAGTTAAGAAAAATGCTTTTAAATACCCAGTTATACAAGTACTGCCCATTATCAACTGATGCTGATATTTAGATATATATTAATAATTTTACTGACCACCAGAAAACTTTAACTACTCCATATCAAAATGAATACCTATTATGACTAGACTGTTGTAAATTTCAATACAGCAATATTGACATGCTTTGACATGATTAATGCAGATGTAACAAATCCCATCTTAAGGTAAGGAATAAGCCATTTCCAGATGGTAGGACAGCAGAGGACGCTCTGTTGTACAGTGTTTTTTTTTTTTGTTTTTTTTAGCTCATCCAGTACCTTTTTAAACTTTCCTTGTCGTTTTGCAGAGGCCTGCCCCTGGTGGTCAGAATAACACACAGTGAGGAAGAGACAACACAAACACACCAAAAAGGATTCGCTCTTTCTTCATTTTATCTTTCATCCTCACTCAGAGACTCAGAGTCAGCCTGTCACCTACCTGTCAGACTTAAACATACAACACAGTGGTAAAACTCTTTCTTCTTTCTTATCTTGTGTTCACATCTTACAAATCTGACTGACTTGTCAGTGGGATATATGAGTATTTCACATGAGATTAGCAGAATTCTTCAAATTGCTCAAACAAAACAAGAGTCTTAAGCAATGCAATGTGAAACATCATGAAAAACTTGGGACACAATATTGATCTGTAAATGGTTTCTGAAGTTCAATTCAAAGTCCTTTTGCAGTGGAGCCACTGAGCAAAGGAAGTTCAACCACAAACACGCACGCAAAAGCTGAAAAATATTCAGACATGTATGATGAACAGCTCTTCAAAGACGTAAAAGGTGAGCACTTGCAGCCCAAGAGGATAGTAAGAATAGGCTCTGGGGATAAAACATTTGCCATTGCAGTGTGTATAAAAGTAAATGTCTAATTTTTGTTGTTGACTTTTAGAGATATTTCATTCAATTCATTGGTAGTTTTGCTCTTAAGCACAGCCATTTTCTTTCGTGAATTATTTATATTTATAGACTATACAGACACACACAATATATAAAGTATAAAACCATTTAAGCAAATTATTTCTTTTTGCTTTACTTTTTTGAAGAAATTTTCTCTCAATTTTAGGTTGTTAAAATAGAGACGATGTGGTCCAGAAGCAGGTAATTCTCACAGTTTTAAGACTAATTTCAATTTAACCATGTTAGCAACCAAAAATGTTCTATAATATTAGTCAACCATGTACAATAAAAAACCACATCCATTGTGTTGAGATCTGGCATGAGCAACAACAGATTGTTTTTCTGGGAGAATGGACAAAGGCAAATGAGTGAAAAAAGAAAAATGACATGCATTAACAAAAAGGATGGCAACCAATTTCAGAAGCAACAGACCAGACTAATCAGCTCAGGTCTGAAAGTGATGACACACACCGGACACAATTTTAAAAAAGATAAAGCTGAGAGCACTCAAGCACTGGTCTTTAATCCTGATCATCGGGACCCCAAGTACTACGATTTTACATCATTAACCAGGATGGGCAGGGCAACCTGCCACACTCTTACCATTTGTTTTGTTCAGCATTCACTCGACAATGTGTAAAAGTCCCAGAATTTGGCAGAAAGGAAAACCAGCACCAATGACTTTGGGTCCTGAGGAGCAGGACTGACCACTGCTCTGAAGTATAGAGATTAACAAAGAACAGAGTCACTCACTGCTTTCTTGCCATACTCGCTCTTGGGGACAACGAGAGAGCCTGTGAGATAGCATCCTGGACTCGTCCCCTTAGGGATCCTGAGAGAGAGAGCCATAAAGGGAAAAAGACAGTGACAGAAAGAATAAAGACCAAATTATCACACATTTGATATCATGGATGTAGAGAACTACATTTTCAAGGAGGAGTTTTTTGCAACAAAAAAAAAAAGATTCTCTTATCCAGTGAATATTGGGGATTTAAGAGCCTCAACAAAATATACTGAAGAGGAAGTAAACATCACTCTTTCCCTGCCTAAAAAGATGATCAGACATTGAATACAGCACTGCCTTACATTTGATCAATGATACAATTTTCTCCTGTTGACCCTGAATATAATCTTCATTTCAAAGTAAATTTAATCTGTCTCCTGTAGTTTATAAGACTCTGACTAATCTGCAGTTGCACTGAGTGTCACAGCTGCTTCTTCCTCAATAATATCTCATGGAGGACTGAGAATATTTCCTAGGAGAAAATTAAAAATAGATTTTTATTTCTGTAAGACCTCTTCTGTTCGGTCAGTTTTTTCTGTATCGAGCGTAAATCCTTTTTAAGGTCGTACAATACAGAGGAAAAGTCTCTCTAGTTTGACTCACTTGTCATCTGGCAGGGCTGTGACGTAGAACGGGTGAGTGGCACCAGGGCACAGGGTGAAAGAGTTTGCCTTCTTCTTGCCCATGAGGGCACCTCGATGCGTCTCGTAGACATCTAGACTGAGCGTGGTGGACAGACGGTGAGAAACCACAAATGGAAGGTCCTTAAGGCGCTCCAGCTCGCTGGACTGCTCATGACGGACCTGCAGACGCACAGTGTAGTCCCCCTTTTCCAGCTTCAGGGAATACTGGGAAGCCAAACAGACAGAGGGGAGATGTTTCAGTTCAGTTAACAGGCACTGCAGTAACCTGGTTACTGCAAATCTGTGTATACATGAAACAGATCAGTAATCAGATTTCTCCCCTTCCCCTGAGCTTACTCTGGAAGCATGGCTTGCTTGTTTATTTAAACTGTGGTAGTGGTAGATGCTGTCTCGTTCCCGAGGTCCTGACATTTTGTTTTGGTATATGTGTGTGTGTGTGTGTGTGTGTTGAAACAGCCTGACAACATAGTGAGAGTGAGACAGAGCGGAGCTTTCCCACATAGCACAAATGTGTCTGGCATGGGGACCCACTTATTTAGATTTCTTAGGGCTACTTTGTGTTAGTTTCATGTGCACGTTCCTGTCCATGTGCGTCTGACGGGAAACCATGGACTGGCCTTTACTTTCCTTATCAGCAGTCTTTTGTCATGCACATGTGCACTTATAAAAAGCCGATTAGAAACCTGGTTACTGGTATGCATGGCAGAGAAATCTGTGTTCTCCAGGAGAAATCTATCAGGGGATATCATGTTTCTCAAGTCCCCTACCCTGATTACAGACACTTTCTTGTTTACATGACATTAAAGGAATCAGCTTACTGGAAAAGGCTGACTGTGACCCGGGTACATAAGTGTATGTAAAAGCACTGAATCCTACCTTCTGAAAGAAAGTAACAACTACAGACATATGTGAACATCTGGGAAAGAAAAACCATGCACTCTCAGGGGAAAGCTCTTAATGTGGCTGAGCGAACCTGGTGTGGGTAGGCGTCCCCTGAGCCCAGTAGTCTCTTATTCTGATCAAACAGCATCCAGAGCTGACTGTCAAACTCAGACTCATACAGCAGCTCACACAGCATGGGACAGCTGGGGGTTACCTCTCCACTCTTAGGCTGAGGAAAGAACAAAAGAGGATTATATACACACGAAAAAAAGAAAAATCACTTAATTTCTTGTATGTTGTGCTTGTAGTACCTGGTGAAAGCTGTAGGTGAGGACATTCTCATAGAGTTGTCTGTTGTTAGGGAGAACATCCCTCATTCCCAAGGCTTTTATCTTTGAACTTAAGGGTCTACAAACACATCAGCAACAACAGTGATCACACGATGACCTGAACTGTTATCAAACAACAAAATATATGTGTGTTTGTGTACTTACCTGAGGGGCTGGACCCAGGACTTGAGGGTGATAGTGGGGGACACCTCCTCGTACCTCAGAGGTGACGACACATCAAAACTTGTCACTCCTTCTGAGGCATGCTAGGTAGACACAGATGAGAGTCAAAAACCGAGAAATGTTATTGTCTAGGTTGTAGTTCACTTTCTGGTGTGTCTACCTTATATATGAGATGGCTCAAGAACTCCCCTCCCAACTAACTTAATAACAATGTACGCTACACTAACGAAATAACCTCCTCCTCATCACCAAGTTAACATACATACTGTTAGTTTCTGATAACTGATAAAATCCTCCTTCATCTAAAAAGATAAAGTCCTCTCCCTTCCTCTTGTAAAAAAAAAAAACAAAATAAATCAGCAGCAGCCATTAGATGCATATAGGTGAAACTCTTACTATGTGCAGGGGAGAAGGAGATGTGTTCAGTCCATGGAACGTGATGTTGTAGTCCACTGTGACGTCACCCAGGCTCGCCCACCAGCGCGCAATGCACAACTCTACAACCCTTCCTGACTGGAGAAGAGACAAAGGCACAAACATTAGTCCATTTTTATGTGCACGCATCTAAGAGATTAAGTGACCTCCATTAAAAGCACCTATAGAACTACAGATAGCAACGACCTTTATTTATAGCTGACTCTGGTATGTTTACATAATGACTTATGTGCAAAGTCCTCGTAAAAAAAAAAAAAAAAAAGAAGATACATTATAAATAAAATATACATACCAGCACAGGAAATGCCTCAGTTAGAGAGCCTCTCTCCAATAGTGAAGAGAACTTGTAGAATTCATTTGCTCTGTACGCTTTCTGTTTGACCAGGTGCACTGCATGGAGAACAAACTTTGACGACACATCTCCCGAATGAGAGGTCAGCGTGATCTCTGCAGGAGAGAGACCGAGCCAGAGGTGGAAACAGAACAACAGGAAGAACAGAGGATGCAGAAGAGGGTGAAAAAAGCAAGAGGTGAAACAAGGAAGTGGAGGACAACAGGAAGAGGCAAAGAGAAAAAAGTTAAATTAAAAGGTCACATTCTGATTATGCACAGCTATCTTTACTTAGAAGAAAAATAAAAGTCACATCTTTCACCACTGACTAATCTTCAATCAAGACCTCCTAAAGAAACCACTTTCAAAATGAGTCAAACCAAATACCACCGTTTCAGTTTCAATTCTAAAATAAATCGAAATGTTAAAAAAAGAAACAGAAATGAAAGGCACCACTTAGGCATAACCATTGCTAAACTGAAATGTATCATCAATTTGTGACTCAAAATGGATCAAATTTCAACATTTGATACCTTGGACAAACACTTATAGACTTGAATGATACTACTGGTGATACAGGGTTTCAGTAGTGCTCAACTAATTAAATTTGAGACTTTATAAGATTGTTTTAAGGCCACACAGAATGCAATTTAATACTTATTTCACCAGAGTCAGTCAAAGAATAACTGAAATCCAGTATGAAATATAAGGCCTACAGTTCTTTATCAAGTACATACATTTATTGAGATATCATATTTTTTTCAGTACTTTACAGCTATGAATAAAAATAATTCTTGATAATATAATTAATCCATTAATGTGACCTGGACCCACACAAACAGAAGAAATGGAGGGATGAATTACCAATTAAATAATAACTAATTAAGCCTGCAACCACATACAAAAAAAATGTCACTAATGTTACAGTCTACAAGTTAGGCAAGAGCATATATTTAAGACCTTTGTAAGTTTAAGAGTTTTTAATACCTTCTAGAGCCTTTGTTCAGGGAAGTGAATTCAGTGCTTTTTAAGACTTTTCAACATCTGCACATACCCTGCTGAAAGGGTCACTTGCACACCAAAGCTCCCCCCTCATCACACAGAGACACTGACCTGCCCAGGAGGCTCCCTGAGGAACAGTGATGAAGTGGCGTCTGATCTGGCCTGGTCTGAAGTGGATGTCTGTGAAACACACCTCCTGATTACGACTATCTATCACTCTGATGGAAGACAGAGAGAGCTGTGAGAAACACACAAACACACACTCATGCAAACCTCTAATTAAAAGGAAACACAAACAAGAACTCACTTGGTAGGGATAATAACTGTGATTGGAACTCTGAACAGTGGGCCACAGCTAGGCGCTGCTGTATCATACCCACACACCTAAAGAAAAAAGAAAACAGAAAAAAACAGACATTCACAGTGATCAGATTAGCATTAATACACACAGAAACAAGAGCTTCATCTTTTCCTCCTCCACTCTGTTTTGTCCCTACCTCTGTGTAGTGCACTCCCTCTCTCAGTCCCACAGGATCGATGCGGACATTAACATGACGACACTGATTCATTAGCTCTAGGTGGGAGGGGCACTGGACCCATGGGGCAGCGCATGTGAGAGCCAAGTGTAGCTGCAAGGAGATTCGCTCAGAGTTTCCTGTGATGGATGAAAGGGGAAGACAGATGTGTAAAAAGAAATGAAAACACTCATCCACACTAAAATAAAACGCTGCAAAAAACAAGCAAAAAAAATGCCCATGATGATTGTGCTATTAAGTATGAACAGCACGCACCTGTGTTCTCTGGGAAGATGGGTTCAATTCCAACTCCATGATCTGAGGGTGCAAGAACTTGGCCTGGGTCCCTGAGGTAGATGCCTCTCTGTGTTCCCACACTTACTGAGAAGCCAAGGTGGCTCGTGGGTAAAGAGGCGTGTTGAGTGAGGTAGTCTAGTGCCCTGTCCACCTGAGAGGTAGAAAGGGAGGAAATTACTGAATGGCACACAAGAAAATGACAAAGTATTACAGTAAAAATAAAAAAAACATGATAAGACAGCAACTACAGTCAAGTTACCTGGATTATGCCATGGCCCTGTGCGAACACTTCAATGTCATCAACCTTCAGAGCTGTGTTTTCCAATGCTCTCCTCACCGCAGGGACAGAGGGACGGATCCCGTTTTGTTTCAGTCCTTTGTCACACAAAAATCACACACTAGCATTAGATTTGCATTCATGCAAACTTCCAAACATGCAATATAGTCCCACATCTAGTATCAGTCCATGACCCTGGACACACCTGAGAGGATTAGGGCGATGCCTCCACAGGCATTAGGGGATGACATGGATGTGCCGTTCATCAGCTGGGTACCACGAAGAGTCCAGTTGGGTACAGATGCAATGGCACCACCAGGGGCACTGATGCTGACCCCTAGGGCCCCATCTGTACTGGGACCCCTAGACGACCAGGTGTACTGGTTGGGAGGCAGCTTCTCCCTCAGGGAATACTCTGCCACCATCATGTCTGGAGTCACATACGCTCCAACACCTGTGGAGAAAACAAAGCAGGGAGAATTAATGAATGCAAATTATCTAAAAAACAGAACACACATATTTGGGCTTGACAATGTATCAATTTTTTTTACCATCACTACTATTTTGATTTTTATGATAAACACATTGTTCAAGACTTAAAGATCACAATTGCTACGATTTCTTAAGACATCTCTATATTGCATTGGCCATCACACATGTTCCACTTATTGTAGTTTCTTTTCCTGGTCTTCAACAAACAAACAGGATAGCCTATAAACCTTGTGCATCAATGGCTATTTTATTCCTCACAGTTCAGAGTGCATGCAATTTCAAGTTATAGATGAAAGTGTTGTGGTGTTAACTTGACTGAAGAGGCTAAAGAACAGATGCTATGTACTTTGGATGTGTCCCCAGTTAATCTAATATATATGTGTATCAATATATGTATTTTATCGGTGCGTGTGTACCTATGACACTACTGGTGGTTCCCCCCGGGCAGCCGACTGTGGAGAGGCAAGGGCCGTTGTTTCCTGCACTTGAAACGAATATCACATTGTGCTTCTGGACAGCCTCTGTGATCACCTCACAAATCCTCCTGAAAAACAAATTGACAAAAATGAGCGAGCATAAGAGTGCAACACAATATTAACCCACTCAATGACACACCCCCTTGCTACCACTACATCATACTCACCCGGAATTGGGCCAGTGGGTGGCTTCCCCATAGCTATAGTTAACCAGGTCACACTTGTAGTTGATTACTTCGATCATCTTTAAGTGACAGAGAGATAATGAATGAATAGGTGAAAAAACAAAAGGTATAAAAATAAAGCTTAACTGTTTTAGATTTACTATATTTGACAGAGTCTGGGCTATATACCGCACGGATGAGTCCTGTGCCTGTTTCCATGGTGCTGAGGCGGGTGTCTCCAATCTTCAGAGCCAGGATTTGGGCACCAGGGGCCACACCATTGCGCTCTGGTTCCTCTGGGAAGTAGCCCGCTGCAATGCTTGCCACATGTGTCCCATGAGCCCCTGTAACAGCACCCAAGCAAGTTAGACTGCAGATAACACAGTGAACTTCTACACAATGTGCAGCCTTATCCTTTACACTGAAATTTTTTTGTCTTCACTGACTGAATCATGAGAAAAGACAAAACAAAAAGGAAAACCTTACCTCCACTGGTGACGATGCAGAGTGTGTTTCCCTCATCATAAATATTTACAGAGTAGTTAAGCATCTCAGCATTTCCTAACGTGGCATACTCTTGTGTCTCTCTGTAGGAGCACAGCACAGTGCACTGGGACAGCTCTCCACACTCTGAAGTGTCCACTACAGCCCTAAAGAAAACAAGAGGTAGCAAGTGGTAACAAGAGTAGACAGTGAAGACAAATGGTCCAAAACATCATGCATAATAAGGAAAGAAGTTGGTGTGGGTACCTCCATGTAACACCGTCATGCCAAAGCACACAGTCATATACAGGACCAGGATCACTGTACTTCTTTTCTAGAGATGCCAACAGCTCGGACTGACTCTGCAGCTCTTCCTTCTGCAACTTCTCCATCTGAGAGAGAAAGCAGGGCGAAGGATACGTGTGAGAGTGTCATCAGAGACAAATCAGAGCAATAAAAATGTCACATTATTTTGACTAGCATGCAAACTCTGATGAGTACTCAAGAACTCAAGTTTGTAGGTCTGACCTGTGCCGGTGTTGGGTGAGAGAGGTCAAACTCTTCTGTCTTGCGACAGACCTCAGCAAGTGCTGATCTGTGTGGTGGGTCCCACATCTTCTCCTTTCGCTCTTTCTAATAGACAAAAGTAACAGTGCCTTAAAAACATTAATAGATGACAAAAAGTCTCCAGTTTCTTTCATTTTCATCTATGTTAAATTGTACACTGCAATGGCTGCATCAATATAAACTCTGGGAATCCAATTAGTCCAGTTTTTCAACTCTTGTATTTGTACTTATTCATTCATTCATTACAAAGTTCCTATTATTAGATGTGTTAGGTGTAATCTGAAAAATATTTGTGGGAAATTGTTATCAGCAGAGGAAAATCTCTAAATTCCTGCCCATGTGCAAGTTTTCTTGCAGTCCATGCGCATCTACCACTGAACACAACCATAGTGTTCAAATTCAAAACCAGAGGGTTAGTACAGTAATAATGTCATGTCTTCCTACCTGTATTCTCTCTTTAAGGGCCTTAGGGAAGAACTCATAGCCATTTTTAACTCCAATGCGATACTTCCCTGATGGATTGACCCAGGCAGGAGGGATCTGGAAGACATAAAAAGACAGAGTGAGAGAGCAATATGAAGAAAAATATGTACAGTGAGGTCCTAATGATCGAGTCAAGTGTAGTTAGTCTTAAAGAAATCATTACACATAACAAAATTATATCACATGCAGGACAATGACTGCAACAGAATATTTCTTGTGTGACAGCTGTTATTGTCTTAATATCAAAAGGTGTCTACTTACCTTAAGTACTCTACCAGAGAGGCCAGTGATTATACCATCTTTAGGTTCTGCCACTGTGGTCATGTTCACGTCACCGCTGCCTGTTGTATCGATGATATCGACGATCTTTGGCTTCCCCTCAGTTGTAACCTAAAGAAGCCGAAATGAATTAGGAAATCAGGCTGAACGGGATGCAACATGCAGATTTAGTTACTGATACTGACCAAGGAGTACTGTTGACATCATAAACTATAAAACCTGTCAACAACCTGTCACTTTGAATCTGAACTTCGAGCTGAGTCGTGTACAAACCAACCTGAGAAGTGAATTAACTCCCATATATATTTGTTTACACACAATGAAGGGGTCAGATTCTATATTTGCCCTTTAAAGCACGACTGCAGCAAGGTGATATGTTGTTGGAAAGCAGTAGCTGACCTTAATTTATTGTCATAATGCTTCAACTAACCTCGCTACAGAGGCATGACTGTATAAAAATTAGCAGGTGTTTATTCATTAATTTAACACCGTGCAGCTAACTACTTGAACTAGTGTGACTAGGCAGCTAACATGAAGCTAGTCACGGCTCATTACTGACAGCTGACCAATTGTAAAATATTCGAAGTAGCTTCTATGAATCTGGTCGCAACAGCCAAACACGATTTAACCATCTGACTGGACAAACTGTGATAACTGAGGAGATAGAAGCGGAAAAAATTCAGCTGTTAGCTGCCAGGCTCACATGCTAGCATGAGTGCCAACTAACTGGCAACCATTATGTCGGTTATCTGTAAATTTGTCTAGCACCAGAACACTATTAGGCAACAGAAAAAAGTATTTTTCATCGATTACTTTATGTTGCTTTAGTTGTCACAAAGCTATACAATTGTTGTTATGGTTGTTGTGTGTATTTGTCCATGCTAACAAGCTAGCTAGCCGTGTACAAATTATGTGAATGAGTTGGGCCTTTAGCTTTGCTAGCTCGAAGCTAGCTAACGTGAGGCAGCTGGTTAGGTTTACCTGCATGCCGGGGGCCCCGGGATCCACGCCGGTGTCGAGGATAGCGATGAGCACTCCTCGGCCATCGTACTCGGGGAACCTGGTGAGGTAAGACGTGGCGCCGGTTTCTTTTTTGGGGAGCAGCCCGTGGAAAGGGAACGGTTCTTCGGTAGAATGAGCAGCCATTATTCAGAGGAGCGACAATGAAAACAAAGCAGCGAAATGGGGAAGAGACACACAGTGGGAGACGAGGAGGAGAGCTGGTTAAAGGGGCAGTGCGTGGGGTTATCCTGCGTAGCCACATTTCCCTGCAACCCTCATTCAACAAGCCTTTGACACAAACTGTCGCTTATAATTTTTGAGCTACATTTTTATATCATGACGTTATTTTGCTGCTGAACACCCAAGGCTGCCTTATCCAGCAGTAAAACTATAAACTATCTGGTCCCTGAGGGCAGTGTGGGAATAAGTATTCAGGTAGTGTGTGCCACACTCCTAAAGGTAAAGGTTTCCCAAGTAAAAATCCTTCATTTTTACTTCTACCTTTAAACTTAAAAATAAAAACAATTTGTCAAATATTGTTTGACTTATAAATGCTCTTAAATGTCAGACAGCGGCAGAGGTCCATTACATTCATCAGGGGTGCAGCAAGAATAAAAATGGCATAGGTTATATTTGCATTGTCTACACTTGTCATTTTGGTGCTAAATTCTCTTAATTATATGATTTCTCTGACGTACATCATCTACCAACAACAGTGTCTTACAGCTGAATTTTGTTTCCATTTGAGCCAATTTCACATTATTTCATACCTATTCATGTAAATATATTAGATTGTTGTTAATTTCACATGTTGATTATTTCTGGAGATTTAAAGATTTCACACAAATGAACTTGTAAAAGACATGTGTGCTTGCAGAATAACATACCACCAAATCATACCACGATTTTTTTTAAAAGAATGTACAATGTTGGCTGCAGGGTCAGTTTATATCTCTGATTCCTTCTCTGAGCAGACATTCAATTGCAGAGGCAAAAAGCAAAGAACTCTTTCACTCTGAGTCTGGTTAAGTGTAATAAATATGAGCGCTGATAGATGTCTAAACTGATCTGTTGCTCAAAGTTGTCCAGTTCTTGATTAGTTAGGTCTAATTGTGACTGATTTAAAACTTTTAAGACAAAAAAAAACAACTGACTGAGCTGTCTGGGAAAATGCAACAGTTAAGACCATTAATAGGAGTATAACGATGCTAAGAACAACCAGTAATATAAAATGGCTGCTCATTCGAGAACTGAGATGCTGTAGCTTTTTTGATGTAGTCAGACTCAGGACTTCTGTTAACTCTCGCTCAGGATAGTTCCTCTAACCTGTAAGGCTTAAAATAAGTCCCTCTTTATTTATGTGAAACTGTCTTCCTTGCATTAGATCAATATAAGGGCAAAATTAAGACTGGCATAAAACTATAGACCGGTCTAAAATATCTTTGTGAAACTAGCCCAGGGGCCACTACTGCTTCCATCCTGTACTGTAAATCTTTTAGTAATTTGGGATCACTGCAGTTATGATGAGTGCACACTAGATAGTGCTATAATACAGATAGTTGTGTGATTGCTCTTTGACTTAACTAAACCAAAGTTATGCTCATTAAAGTTTTGCTGCGGTGCTGCTGCTACATTTCAAAATACATGGATTTTGTGTAATTGTCAGGGACAATCTAATGGGCACTGATGTCAGAGGAGTTACATATCAAACAAGTTCATCAACACAGGTTTCATGCAAACAACCATCCTTTGAGGAATCACTCCGAGTTTGCTTATCTAAAACTCACATCTCCCCTGAACTGAGATTGTAACTGAATCTGAATATAAAATAAATGGATTGCATAGAGTCTGTTCTTGTCATAATTAGAGACCGTGGCACATGAAAAACAAAGGTGGTGTTTGGTTAAATCTCTGCATCATTGGTTTAACTGAAAGGATGAAGAGAGGGCTATCAGCATATCTGCATGTGTTCTTTGTTTGTTTTCTGTAACCGCACTACCACCCCACAGCTTGGTTTCTGTTTTTTGTGTTTTTATTTTCTACAGATGCAATTCCTAGAACTGAGGAGGGTGGAAACAATCAAACCATAAACAACCAATCTGATCAACACAGAGGTTCTTCTTATGTGAGTTGGATATATTAATAACAGTGCACTCAGAAATTTTAAATTAAAGTTGTATGCTGCTGTATGTTTTCCAATAATCAATTCACACAAGTTCTTCTAAGATTTGATTCATGCTCTATTCATAGAGATTTTATTTGTCTTTTCCATAATACCAGGATTATCTTTGCACATGTCAATCGTCATCTGTTCAACACAATATTCTCTCCCCCTCTCTAACGTATATATATCATGTCCATTCACATTTGTACAGTTTATGCTACAGTGTATGCTTGTAATAGAAAAAAAGCACTATCCACAGTAGGGAGGGTTAGTTGTGAGTGTACAGTTATTTTAAGTGTGCCAACGCCCTCAAACGCTGCTCTGGTGGTTGGCTTGTGCGTAATAACAACAGTGAGCATCCTTTCACTAATCTTCTTAAAAATCAGCATCTGCCCTCTCTTCCTCTTTCTCTCAGTGGTTTTGTTACTCAGTCACATACAGACATATGCACATAATTCATAGTTGCACAGACATTGTTTGATGCCATGCTTATAGGACACATGGTTTAATAGCTTCATTTTTTTTTTTTTTTTCTCTTGCTTGAGATAAGTTAGACCGCCACAATATGTGGGGCTTCTCTGTTTCTCTGTTTTAAACCATTAACTAACACACACACAGTTACATACAAAGCCTTGTGGTTTACCACAGGGCGTAGTCACTTCAGCTAAACTGAAATAAATACATGTCATGAACATCTTTAAAGCTTTATTTCCCTATGTGATATTGTGCTACAGCTAGAAAAAACTGTACTCCCATCCTGCCATTTTTGCTTGCAAATATGATACTACTTTGGTTGGCTTGTCATGATAGTGGCAACCCTTGCCCCTAACAATGTAGTCTTATTTTATGGCAGTTTGCCTGGCTGTACATCTGTGCATGCAAAGTTGTAGTCAAGAGGAGAGTTCTCGATTTACCTGCTGGGCCAAGTCAACTCGAAGAGCCCAAAGCTCTTGCCTTACAGGATGTGGCTAACACAAAGGACCTACATTATTGCTGTTTCCCACAAACTGTCACCAAGTTTTTCATCAAAATAAATTTGTCTTGAGTGGTTATGTATACAACATGGGTAATACCATGTTTATTATCTAGGAAAATAGCCACAGAGTCAGTCAGAGATAGTCAAATGCACACGAACCATGTTGTTAACTGCATCACTGATATGCACACACAGGCACAAATGCACATTCAGTCAGCGGTGGGAAAAGTACTCAGATCCTTTACTCAAGTTAAAGTCAAATACAAGCAAAACTAATGCATTCAAATATCAGCATCAAAATTTACTTAAAGTACCAAAAGTAAAATTGCTTATTTGGCAGAATGGCCCATTTCACATATGAAATATTTTTGGATTATACTGTAAGTATTGATGCATCAATGTGTAAGTGTTGCTTTAATGTTGCAGCTGATAAAACTGGGGCTAATTTTAACGGCTTTAGGTATCGTTTGGAAGTTTATTCTATAATGTACTTGTTAATTATGTCTTGTGTTAATGATCTGCACTGGTGGAAGAAGTATTCAGCTCTTTCACTTCCATTAAAGTACCAATACATCGATCCATCCATCCGTCCATTAGCTATACTGTTTATCCTTTGAGGAACACAGGGGGGGCTTGAGCCAGGGGGTTGGGCCCCTCCAAAGGGTCACAAGATAAATCTCAGGAGCGGTGAGATGATTAGAGGGGCAGAAAAGAAGAAAAACAAAGTTTGGCTATACAAATCTGTGTTCTTTTTTTTTTTTTGTACTTTTCTTTCATCTTTGCTCTTTTTTGTGAAATATTGGATCATTTGACCTGCATGTGATCTAAATCTACAAAGTCACCAGAAAGTAAAGCTGTTGTGGAGTAAAAAATACATTATTTAAAATATGTACAGGAGTAGTGGCACAAATAGCTAAAATGGAAATACTCAACAATTGTATTTAAGTGCTGTACTTGAGTAAATGTACTTAGTTACGTCCCACAACATTCAGTTAGCTGTAGAGCGTGGCAGGGTTGTTGCTACGAGGTGACTGTGATTTCTTTCTGAGGTGGGTCTGACAGGGTAACGGGTGAGATGATACATGTAGCCTAATTAGATTTAGAGCTGTTCTAAAGGAGTCACAGCTAATCCCAACACCTTGGCCTGCAGCAGAAGCACTGCAGCTAACCGTCATTCCTTGTAGAGAGACTGTGCAACTGTTCTTTAAGTCCCACATCTCGGCTGGGTTGGGCTTGGCCAGCTGGGTTTGTAGAGTGTTCCAGACCAGAGTCGGGCTATTTTGAGGAATGTGGTCATAGTGATCTCAGAGGCATGGCCCAATAGGCTCAAGTGTGGGCTGATGACAACCCTGCACCTTTCACCTGAATGGATCTTAAATCCTGTCCAGACATCCCTCCCAACGCGCAGGCCAGCACCTCGTCCATTCTTCCATCTGTTAAATTTGGCCAAAGATCAGTGTCAACAGGAAAATAAAGACCATTTATTCTTTCCAGGCTATTGCTGTCTTGTCTTGTGACAGCCTTTAAGAACATTTAATTGGAGGTTATGTTTCCATTTGCTCCTTTCTTGTCTGTCACCAGATAAGAGTTTAGTGGTGATTCAGATAAATCAATGTAATTTTTAATCATACATGTGGATCTCTGAGATACACAGACTTGATTCTTTTAAAGTTACCAACAAACACTCGATAATGGCAGGTTGATGTTTTCGTTTAAGCAGTGAGGAACTTTGTTTTATCTTTGCGCATTGTGTCTCACAATTCCATCAGTGTCCTGCAAAAGAAATCCTCAGACTCAATCCAAATTTACATTTTTACTGCATGAAACATTCAATTCAGTTAAGGCTCCAGTGGCCAAAGATGCCTGTTTTGAAAATGAGATTGTGTTGCACTTATGGCATATTATTGTATGCCAAGTCCTGAGTTTGGTGTTGTTCATACAGTAACTGAAACGAGTGTAAGGCAGTTTGAAGCCTGTAAACTGAAATAACACTAAAACGTTGTTGTGTTGCTTCTTGCATCTGCAGTCTCTCCCTGATCCAGTGGAGTCCGGCCCATGTTGCTGTATGTGGGGCCCATGTAGGGGGAGTAACACTCACACTCACTGAAAAGCCACAGATGATGCATTGTCAATTCTCAGAGAGGGTGGGGTGTACAAACAAATGCTGATGTACAGGAGTATGGTGACCTAGCTTTGCCAGCGCCTACACTACACTATTTTTTTTTTTTTTTAAATCATTCAACATTATGAGCCAGTTCTTGTCAATTCAGGGTCTAGCCAGCCAATGTATGAGGGGTGATTAATGCTGAAGAGGGACAGGAACTTTATAGCCCTTGTACTATGGGTGATTAATGCCAAAGATTGTAGTAGTGTAGTGTCATCCACTACACTATTGCTGCTATTTTAAGGGGATTTGGTGCATTTCATCGATGACTGATACAGGTGATAGTTATGAACAAATACAGAAACATTATTTTCCCTTTTAAAATGGCTCTGGATGACCAATATTACCATTATTGTGTTTTATTCTAGCAGGGAAACAAAGATTATTCTCGTTGAGAAAATACATCAGTTAATCAGAGCTATGAGAAAACTGAGTAGTTGGGGAAACATTTAGTATTTTTCATTTGCACAGCAGTAACTCAATGTGCAAAGATCTCGTTCACATTCTAGACAACACTTTCCACGTAAGGCTTGTTTTGTTTCCCCAGTGTTTTTAGTGGTTGTTTGAAACTGAAATGGGTAAAGGAAGTTGATGTCTGTGCTTGATTGACAGCGGCTGACAAGCTGCTCAAGTGCAGGAGAATACAGGAGAAGAGATTTACAGTGTAGATATGTATACTGTAACAGACAAAGAAGAGCTATTTTAATTTTCATTGGTGATTTTTGTTTCATTTAATTCAAATTTTATTATTATTATTATACATTTGTTGAGAAAATACATTAGTTAATCAGAGCTATGAGAAAACTGAGTAGTTGAGGAAACATTTAGTATTTTTCATTTGCACAGCAGTAACTCAATGTGCAAAGATCTCGTTCACATTCTAGACAACACTGTCCACGTAAGGCTTGTTTTGTTTCCCCAGTGTTTTTAGTGGTTGTTTGAAACTGAAATGGGTAAAGGAAGTTGATGTCTGTGCTTGATTGACAGCGGCTGACAAGCTGCTCAAGTGCAGGAGAATACAGGAGAAGAGATTTACAGTGTAGATATGTATACTGTAACAGACAAAGAAGAGCTATTTTAATTTTCATTGGTGATTTTTGTTTCATTTAATTCAAATTTTATTATTATTATTATACATTTGTTGAGAAAATACATTAGTTAATCAGAGCTATGAGAAAACTGAGTAGTTGGGGAAACATTTAGTATTTTTCATTTGCACAGCAGTAACTCAATGTGCAAAGATCTCGTTCACATTCTAGACAACACTTTCCACGTAAGGCTTGTTTTGTTTCCCCAGTGTTTTTAGTGGTTGTTTGAAACTGAAATGGGTAAAGGAAGTTGATGTCTGTGCTTGATTGACAGCGGCTGACAAGCTGCTCAAGTGCAGGAGAATACAGGAGAAGAGATTTACAGTGTAGATATGTATACTGTAACAGACAAAGAAGAGCTATTTTAATTTTCATTGGTGATTTTTGTTTCATTTAATTCAAATTTTATTATTATTATTATACATTTGTTGAGAAAATACATTAGTTAATCAGAGCTATGAGAAAACTGAGTAGTTGAGGAAACATTTAGTATTTTTCATTTGCACAGCAGTAACTCAATGTGCAAAGATCTCGTTCACATTCTAGACAACACTTTCCACGTAAGGCTTGTTTTGTTTCCCCAGTGTTTTTAGTGGTTGTTTGAAACTGAAATGGGTAAAGGAAGTTGATGTCTGTGCTTGATTGACAGCGGCTGACAAGCTGCTCAAGTGCAGGAGAATACAGGAGAAGAGATTTACAGTGTAGATATGTATACTGTAACAGACAAAGAAGAGCTATTTTAATTTTCATTGGTGATTTTTGTTTCATTTAATTCAAATTTTATTATTATTATTATACATTTGTTGAGAAAATACATTAGTTAATCAGAGCTATGAGAAAACTGAGTAGTTGGGGAAACATTTAGTATTTTTCATTTGCACAGCAGTAACTCAATGTGCAAAGATCTCGTTCACATTCTAGACAACACTTTCCACGTAAGGCTTGTTTTGTTTCCCCAGTGTTTTTAGTGGTTGTTTGAAACTGAAATGGGTAAAGGAAGTTGATGTCTGTGCTTGATTGACAGCGGCTGACAAGCTGCTCAAGTGCAGGAGAATACAGGAGAAGAGATTTACAGTGTAGATATGTATACTGTAACAGACAAAGAAGAGCTATTTTAATTTTCATTGGTGATTTTTGTTTCATTTAATTCAAATTTTATTATTATTATTATACATTTAGATTCAGTCAGTATCCGGTTTAGAGAGTGGGCGGGACTTCGGCTGTTCAGTTTCTTCAATGACACCATCATCTTTCCTCCTTTGCTGCCAGGCACTGATCACCCTCCATACCCATGTGTGGGCGGTGTTGTGTGGAGCCACACCTCCACTGGCGCTGCTGCTGTTGCTGCTGCTGCTGCTGCGGGATTGAAGCCGAGGCTGCTTGCTTGTTCTCAACCAGTCAGCAGCGGCAGTGGTCGGGTCGGAGTATGATCGCTGTGCGGGGCGCATAGATGTGCAAAACCCCTGGAATATCCGTGCGCTGGAGAGGCCAGAACCGACCACCGTGGAGGACTGTCTTCATTTAGTCGTCAAAAGGGAAAGAGCCACGGTGAAAGCATGGCGGTAGAAGAGGAAGGTCTCCGGGTTTTCCAGAGCGTTAAAATAAAAATAGGTAAGAAGAAAAATCCCTACCCCCAGTCTGAGCGCCTCAATGGATGGCTCCATATTAACGGGCCAGGCAGGCAGGCAATGAGGGCTGGAGACTGGAGGGACCCCGATCTGTCTTGTTCTGCCTGTTATTGTAATTCAAATCACACACTTGCCTCTAGGGCACAGACTGTAAACCGCAAACTGTACAACTGAAAATGTAAAAGGGAGAAATTCTGAGATTTTACAGGCTTGTGGGAAATTGTGGGAATTTGGCAGCTGGCATTAGAATCCAAATCATGTGTCTCAGAGGTCTACATATGGAGACTTGAATCGATTTGAACACGCTGGGTGATATTCAGCAGACTATGCGACATAAAGGCTCCACAGCTGTAAATATCCAGATGCTTTTTCTGTGCACTTGAGATCAAATAAACCTTTATTACACTTTAGCTGCAGCCACCCATTCATGTTATTGCACCCCCTTCTCTCTCGGTCCTCCTCCCCCTCCAAACAGCTTTATGCTTGACTGTCTCGCTATTGATTGTTAGCCTAGATTTCTATATTTAGATATCTTGCTGGTCTCTAGTGGGTACCCCTGGTTTGTAGGAGGCATGTGGTGCATGCATATCTTGTGAATGGAACCGTGAGGAGGCTGAGTACAGTTTGCAGTGTATGCTGTGGTGGAGAGTTGTTTCTTTTTCAGTGCATTTCAGAAACTACTACCCCTTTACAAGAAATTAATTCCCTGGTCATAGGTAGCAATGTAGTAATTACACAATGGAAACTGTACAGTACTTTATATACCAACATGTATCTCAGAGGTTGCTAGTAATGATAGTAATGATAATATTAAATGATAATAGAACAATATGGTCACCATAAGCTTACTTTTAAGTTACAGTTCGGGTGACAACAAGTGATTATTTTGATTATCGATTAATCTGAAGATTATTTTCCTGATTGAGAGTTTGAGTAACTGAAATGAACGTTATTGTGTTAGTTTTGTTAGGGGAAGTCTGAAATGCTGCTGTCTGACCTGTTTGACAACATGCTCACATTTTTTACTTTTTTTATATCAAAGCATTCAGAGCAAATAATTTCCTCAGTGAGCTCTAATTGTTATCGCGTGTCATTATGGGATGTTTGGGACTGTCTCCTTTCTTTTTCACTGACATCTGGCACCCATTTCATCCTGGCTGTGCTGTCTGGTTTGTTTTGACTCAAAACATGCGACAGAAGGGATGAGCTGAGGGGAAAAAAAAATGACAACAAACACACATACAAGCTGTGTGGCTGTGTGGTGATGCCAGCCAGCATTAGAAAGAAACACTCTGGTAGACGCTTTTTTCGACTGAGCTGATATACAAAGTTAGACTGTATTTTTAAGCTCCTTACCTGCTGTTAAAATTGGCCGCAGAGTCCCTGGAAAACAGCTGGAGAGAGAACCACCCTGCATTGAGTTAATTAAATAGTCCAGCCTCAGTGAGATAATATGCTCAGACCTGTAACTCCAGGGAGAGTTGTAATATTTAAATCACAATGGCCTCATTAGTTTGCTGCACTTTCTGAATGAATGTTCAGTCATCCAGCAGCATTGAGTTCCTGTGAATGAAAACTGAAAGACTGGTGAACCTCTGTGTGTCACAAACGTCTTTCCTATAAACTAACCTGCTTAAAATGAAGTGGTAGAGCAAGTACTCAGATCCTATAAGTAAAAGTACAATTACCTTATTGTACAGTAAAATACACTGTCCAGAAGTATGACCAAAATGTACTTGAAGTATCAATAGTAAAAACAGTCAATACAGAAAAAATGACACCTGTGAGATCTTATCGCTTGGCCCTGCTGTGAGTGTTATATATTATTACAGTATGCATTTCTGAAATAGTATATTTTAGTGTTGCAGTAGGTTGATTAGAGGATCGTCGATAATCGAATAACAAATAAGCTGTTTTCAGCCTCTCAAATATGAAGGTTTTTTAGCTTTCCTTTGTTTTTCTATTAGTGTAATTGAATATCTATGGGTTTGGGACTGTGGATTGGACAAAGCAGGACACCTGAAGATGACCAGGAACTGGTATGGACATTTTTCACTACTGAAAGATGAATCGATTAATCAAGAAACTATTCAGCAGATTAATCAATAGAATAACTGTCATGCAGTCATCATAACTAGTTACTTGCAGCTGTTAGATAAATAAATGTAGTGGAGTGAACCTCTGAAATGTGGTGGAGTAGAAGTACCAATCAAGTGGAAATACTCCAGTAAAGTACAAGTGGAGTCAGTCGACAGTTGAGTTTACACTGTGTAGTTACCTAGCAGCAGTCATACTTGCTGTCAGTCTGATCCCCATGGCGTTCTGCTCCCAGTAATGTAACCCTTGCATCACATTGTTTTCATCAAAGTCTTGTCCTTTGGCATGAGGCTGCAGTTGGCTGATGACTCAGAGCTGAAAATCTGCCACATATTTGTAGCAGAGAAAGAGAGAGAGCGAAGTTATTACTGTTATGCTCCGCCAGATGATGACTCCTCTCAGTTTCCTGGAGGAACACATGAATTTCGGAAACCGAACGGGGCTACCAGGCCCAAGTCCGTACTGTCTGGGGAACACAGGAAACAGGAAACTACCCCCAATTCACTTCCTGATTGGCTGGAAGAGACTACAAAAGAATTGTGTTTTTTCCTGCATGGCAACAACCTAATACAAAGCAGATGTAGTGAGACACAGAGTGAGGGACAGAGGTGGCGTCTCACATACAGGAGCAGCCTGTGCGTCGTCTGTCAGTGCTCGGAGGGACGGGACTTCTCAGTGGCACAGCTGGAGTCGGGACTTTGCACTAATTAACAAGAACATATGTGTATTCGACTTCTCTGTCACCGCTAGAAACATAGTTTGATCTGGATAGATCAGGGTTCTGGTAAACACATCAGAACATTTACTGTACACTCCTTCGAAGTAATGCATAAAATGAATGAATGAACACCTTAAACCTCGCTGCCAGTGGATCAGTGATTACAAACTCGTTCTGTGCAGCCAGGCTCAGCTCAAACTTAAAGCTTTTTGACCACCAGCAGCACTATGGAGCGATATTTTCATAAGTGGGCCCCTATTGATGACGCACATGCATACAAATATACACGCAGGCAGCGTATGTCACATTATTTTGCATCTCACACTGTTCTGCTGATGTAGTGTCCCGACAAACATAACAATGTGCCAACAAAGGTAGTGAAGAAGTAGATCAAACTATACCTCAAAGAGGGAGCATGGATGTAAACCATACACAATTTAAAAAAAAAAAAAAAGTCAGTTTTCCAAATGTTTAATGAAAAAAGAAAATGCATTCAAGATGTTTGTCACACCTCAAGGATACACATGACAATTGTTTGTTTACAAGAAAACTCCACAGGGCACATTTAATTTTAAATTTTGGTGAAGATACTACAAAAATAAATGATCCACAAGAAATCAGCAGTATTTCCATGTGTAGCTATAAAAACATGTTTTGTAAACATCGCATAGATTAAATTACGAGTTTAGCCACTTTGAGTTTGAAGTTGTTTGTCTGGCCTCCTGATAAATTTAAGTCCAATATTTGTTCTGTTTTCCCTTTGTTTGGGGATCCACATCAGTTTCTTTAGCTGCTAATTGCACCACCATATATTCACTGGCCGGTCGCTACATTGTGTACAGTTATTGTTGTTATTCAAATTTTCCTTTCGCTGTGAACAGTTAGTATGATGCGGATGAGAATGACCCAAAACAGTGAGGATGTGGGATGTGAAATCAAAGCAATTTAGCTTAAAGCTGCTAGAAAAGTTCCATAGAGCTGAGGGGGAACTGCAGAGCTGTTGAGCACTATGAGTGACTTACACATTTTGATCAGTAATTGATATAAAAATATTATGTAACAGCTAGCTATACAGACTTTTCTGTAGCAGTATTGTTTCCATATATTTACAATTTGCTGTTTAATCCCAAGTGAAAGGTTTAGATCCTTCCAGAGTTTGCTATGCACTAGGTGAAGTGGCCAAGGATAAGTTATTGGATTGGCTTGAGAGCAGATCTCCACTAAACATGGCACCGTTTGGCATCAGTCCTCCTCATAAGCTACTCGATCTGCACTGCTGAGGCTTTATAGTGTTGGCGCAGCACCATGCTGTAACAATACAAGTGTAATTGCGGACATAGTAGAAATAGCGTTCAATGCAGAGTGGACCACAGTAAAAGAAACACTAGATTACACATAGTGTAGAGGAGGTAAAGTGTTGGGGGTCCAGGAAACGTGAGTGGGCGGCTGAATTCAGGCAGCTCAGGCTGGATTACTCGGGGGGGGGGGGCCTAGGGGGGAAAAGTTGGTTTTAGTGACAGAGCCCCCCCCCCCCTTCCTTTGACAGCTGGCCAACAGAGGTTCCTAAACTTCCTACTGTCCAGACTGAATAGGAGACGTGGAGTAACGGGGAGAGGAATGTTTTAGAAACGCTTCATCTGACTCCCACTTTTATTTAGGTGAAGGGTTCAGGTTCCATTTTGTTTGTTAAGAAGAATAACAAGCTTCATATGAGGCTATGATTACATTAGTAATTTGTGTGTCATGGGGGAAGTAGTTTTGCATACACCTCCAAATGTGTACATAGATACATGTGGTGTTGTGCTCTCATTATGTTAGTGGTGAAACAAGTTAGGGCAAGCTGTATATTTTGTATGTCTATTTTATTGTCTTCCAACTGCGTGTGTCACATGACAATTTTGATCCAATCCATGATCAAGATGGATAATAACCCTGAGATTGCAGGTTGGACACATTCAAGTCAGCGGTATGGGAAAAAAAAACAAAAAAAAAACGAGATATGAACCGAACCGTGGATTTGAAGAGTCGTTACACCCCTAATATATACTGTATATATATATATATGCTAAGTTCTCCATTTTGTCCTGGAAGGACAGCTCTCTGGGAAGTAGTTTGCTGTAAACATGTGTGTTGACTGTTTAGACGCACAGCGTGTTTCGGTCCACGCA